TACCTGCCTTTAAATTGTGTCAACATTTAATGACTACATTAAATAGGCTTTCTCCAGGATGATCTCTCTCTCCAACTGGCCCTTCAGGTCTTCCAATGTGCTGTCCAGACAGTGTATGGGAATTGGATAGTTAGATAGCAATTGTGAACTGTCCCCTTAAGGGAATGCATCATGGTAAATGTAGTTAAGGTATCCTGGGAAATGTAGTCCATATCACGTGATCACATCTGTAATCCAGATTGGTCACTAAATTGACCCTCAATGGGTTGGGGGAGTTTTCCTCACTCTTGGCTGAGCTCACGGACTCATAACTGTTCTATTTCTACTGCTACGAGAAAAAGGATAGGAGATAACCATCTTTTTACCTACAAGACAGATATGCAAAGGATTGGTCATTAAAGAAGAATTTCATCACAAATGTGAGTTATGAGGATACCTGATGAAGCAATAAAAATACTTTGTTATGGATGTTTTGTTGAGTTTATCTAGCTGCATCTGTACAGAAGACAAATCTACCACTGTAAAAAATACAGAACATCCAGCATGCATCTACAATAACATATCTTGTCTCTCAGCTTTTTCTAAAACCAGCTTGAACACCTGGTACTCCCTTTCTATTAAGGTTCTAATGTATGTTGGATAATTCTATGCATTGTTTTGCTAACATGGAAAACTAAAAATAATGCCTATACATTAGTTTGCATACTTTGTTTTTACAGATTCTGTTGCTGCTACTGCTTGCTATATTTCAGTTCCAGCAGCCCACTTTGTAATGACTAGAGTACTGCTCTAACTTTATATCAAGTATCAGAATAAGTAAGGAATGCAGAGGTGTGATGACTCAGTGCCTTAAAAGATGTTGGAGATGGTCTCTGCTCCAGAAGTTTGAGTCCTAGCATCGTTCGACGGAGTGAGCTATCTTCGCTTTCTTCAGCTTCTCCCCATCCAGCAGTTCAAAAACATGCTACATGCAAGTAGATAAATAGGTAACAGTTCAATTGGAAACATGGTGGTGTTTCATGCAGATGGTCAGAACCCTGCCAGTGTTGGACCTATTTGGATGCCCTGCTCGACTGTGAGGCAACATCAACAGTGAGATAAGGCCCTAGATTGTCGTTCTTTCTGGTGTGGAGCTAGTTTGCCCCGTGGTGCACCATGGATAAGTGTGTGGGTGTGAACTAAATAAACTAGCACTCTTTGGCAGCCAATTAACTACTATGCACTAACACTGTAGTCTCCTGGCTAATTGTACCATCGTATGCTAAATAAGTAGAGAATATCTGTAGAGAGTATCTTGAATGTTGACGTCTCTTTTGTATAGTATTTCAGTATATTCCTTCTTTGAATGGGTTACTACTTATCCATTAGTTTCTTTAGCATATCAATTTAAGGTCAGAATCCTTAAAATATCCCTTGTTTTTCTACGTCTATTTCCATCTTCAATGTATTTACAGAAGTTGTAATAATTTTGTTTCCAGCAGCTTCTTGAAATTCAGCTTCATTGATTTCATTCCATGGTTCCTATCCTTCCTTATCGAACAAAGCTCAGGACTTCAATCTGTTGCTAATGTTCTCCTCCAAAATGGTGGATATACATTCAAGATTACACTATGGAAACTGGTCTGTTTTCTTTCACTTTAGCTTGATTTCAAGCTTGACAGTTTGTGATCTGTTCCAGTCAGCTACCAAGGCATGTTTTGGAAGTTACAACTGAGTTCTTTCATCTTCTTATGCCAATAATGTAACTAATTTATTTGTGTTCCAGGTCATACCTGTGTATCTTGCTTATTTGAAGATTGTGTTAGCAAAAACATTCTAGGAGGCATACAACATCCAAATATATAATTATAGGCACGTAATGTTATGCGTACAATTGGGACCAGAATTTTGGTCACTAAGCATTGCATTCATTAAGCAAGTCATTGCTTGACAAGATTCAATTTTCAGGACTATTTTTACTGCAGTCATTAAGCGAATCACCATGGTTGTTAATCAGATTATGTTCTTGTTAAGTCAATCCATTAGTCATTATGGAATCCAGCTTCTCTAATTGACTTTGCTCGTCAGAAACCAACTGGAAAAATCACAAATTGGAATCCCATGACTGCAAGACACTGCAACTATCATAAATGCGAGTGATTGCCAAGTACCTGAATTGCAATCACATGACCGCAGGGGTGGTGCAATAGTTGTAACTTCAAAGACAAATCCTAAATCAGTTATTCTGAGGCCAATGTAACTTCAAACCATTGTTAAATGAATAATTGTAAACTGGAGACTACCAGTAAAACAATTAAAACTTGAATACAGAACACAGAATAAAAAACAACCATAACAATAAAAAAACAAATGAACAAATAACCCCAGGCCTGGTCTTATGGTCTTTCCAGAATCCCAGGAGACTGACCACCATACATGTTTCTGGAGGATTAGATTCCAGAGCACAGGGGCAACAACAGAGAATGCAGAATTCTTTAGTCCTACTGGATAGCAATGTTTAATTGAGGAAGCCTTGAGTGCCTCACTATCTAAATGTGTTGAGTGGGCCAAAATAATCGGAGATAAATACTTCCTCAAATAATCCCTACTCAAATAATCAAGTCCTATGCTATTAAGGTTCTTATAGGTGATGATCAGCATGTGCATTGCATACAGAGCCCAACTGGCAACCAATGCAGCTCATTTAGAAGCAATGACACATGGGCATAATAAAAAGTGTCTGTTACTGCTTGTGTTGTCACAACATAGAAACTAAAGAATATGACTGCAATAGAAATATGCAAGTTCCATTACCAAAGTGATAAGGGGTTAATCATATCTATCAGTAATTGTTCTGATCTAAATAAATTTCCTTATTACTTGCATATGGGAAAAATACTGCACTTCCCAATACTTCTGTCTTGTCAAATAGACTCTGGTTGCATTGTAGCATGTCAGTACATCATGCAAAGTTTTGGAAAGTCCCTGCTACTGCTTGAAGACAAACATTTGGAGGCTCGCTGGTTGCATATGAGTACATTTTTCCAAAAGATACCTGGACATAGCTGAAAATAAAAAAATGTATAAGTAAAAGAAGGTCAGACATAGAAATGTATACCATTCATTGAATGAAGCTTGATGCAAAACATTGTAAACTGCAGAACAACAAAAAGTCTCTGTGATATACACTCTTGTGTACTGTTCTCTCATAATGAATTTAACCTAAATACTGCCAAAATTATAATCTGACCACAAAAACCAAGGAGAAGTCCTACATGTATAGACAACTCCAAGGGTGGGAAAACAATAAACAAAACATAATATACAGAAGAAACAAGCTTCTGTACATACAAGCTATATACATCCACAAAACTAATACATAAGCACACAAACCAATTCTATCTGGGCAGAACATCCTTAATGGCCATCCATGAAATAAGACACTACTAAGAATGCAGGAAAGTGACAACGGTTTGAAGGGCTGTCTTTTCCCAGTTATAGCCACCCAACCCATTGGAGCAGAAAGGGAGTTAGTTCCTGATGTTAAAGAGGTCCATGTAGGGGGACCAAGAAGGGTCTTCTCCATGGCAGCTACCTCCCTTTGGAACAGCATCTCTGAGGAGATAAAGACTGCCATCCATCTTCAGAAGCTTTTGACATGCCCTGAAAGCATAGCTTTGTCAGCGGGACTGGGGACCCCAGGGCAAAATGAAGCCCATCAAGTAATATTATTGTTGTCACCAAGGAGGTAAGGGGTTTACTGGGTTTTGTATCTGGAGTTCTGCAAACTGTTAACTTCTATAAATAGCACAGTGTCACTGTGAGTTGGACAGGCACATGCACTTTCTTAAAAAAGTTGGAAAAATATGAAGTACCTTAGAAATGTATACTAGGTAGGCTAAGTAGGGCCTTGAATAGGAAAACCAAGCATCAGAGTGCAGAAACCTGGCAGGAAAGACCATCTGTTTTTATCTTGTGTATATGCAAAAAAGCACCCCTTCCTACATATGTACCCCTCATAGCTACTCCTAATAGGTTTCTAGGTGCCGTTCCAGCACAGGCAACTCCCGGTATCTAAATAATGGAATGCCACATAGACTTAAGATAAGCCTCAAAAGGAGTTGCGGCCACTTATAAGTCTGATAGCCTTTGCCCGTGCCTTTAACTAAGCGCTTCGCAAGCAAAGAGCCATTCAATAGGCGAAGTCATCTGTACTTCTCCTGTTGAATCCCTGCCTGTCCCGGACCCAATCAAGGCGGGGCAATTCTAGGACGCAAAAAATGGGGATGCATTTCGGACACCACCCGTCACTGTTCCAGAACTGGGAAGAAACGCGTTCCAGTTCAAACAGGATGGTTTCCTCCTCGGCAAAGCAAACGGGGCGTAGTAGCTCCAGAGGAAGTTTGAAACCAAGCCCTGAACTGCAAAGCCCCGGGGGAGGTGAAGGCAATCCCAGGCCGTCGTTTTAAGGGAGCGTACACTGGCGTCGGAGCCGTCCCAACTCCGCTGCTCTGCGCTCACACACGACCCAGCCCGCGTTCGTCTAGAGCCCAGCGGGGAGGGTGCTAAAGTGCGCCTCCGCAGAGCGGGCACGGCGCAGCGAAAGGCGCCTTTCCCGCCTGCTCGAAGGTCCCCTCCTGAAGCTCAGCTCCGAGCCTTTGCCGCCACCACCTCCGCCGCGCGCGCTTCGAGAGCCGAATGGGCTGGCAGAAGTTCCCGAAAGCCAGCAACAACTCAAGAGCCAGCGGCCCAAGGAGCGCCTGCGCACTGCAGGGGCGCCAGATTTGGCGGGAGGGGGAGTGTCCAAAAAGCCTTTGTTAGATGGCATCTGTTTACAGAGTTTACGCTTTCATCTCAACCTGTTTCCTCCTCCCCTCTCCGGCTCCTGAGAACTTAACAGCATAAGAACCCTTTTTTAAGAGGAGACACACGCCAAGCACTGCTTCCAGCTGCATAAAGCCCTCTCCTCCCCCGCCCGCCCACCCACCTCTCGCCTTTTTCCCCCAGTGACTAATGCAAGGATGGCCAGGAGACCTAGGCACAGGTAAAAAGGCAAAGACTGTGGAAAGGGCAAAGCAAATTTCTTTGCAACACCGAGGCATTTTTTTAAATTATTATATTTTTGGGTCGTAGTTTCTCTCGCGCTCTCTCTCGCGCTGGCTCTTTCGGTCTCTAGATATGTTGGTAATGTGCGCGCGCGTGCATCTATCTTGTTTTGTTTCATAGCCGCAAGATTCTTTGGGGGGAAAAGTTAAAAGGGTTGGAGAGAGATTGAGAACTGTTGCACAGGGTTCAGAGGAAGCATTCTCTGCCAGTTCACCTGTCAGGACGTGCGTTAAATCGCTGTATTTAAATAAAATGCTGCATTGAATCAGTTGGTGCTTAGCAACTCACTTTCTCCTTGGGCTACTTAGATTTCCCCCCACCTCCGCCGCTTATTAGCGATTAGGAATAGATCATGACTCTCGGATCCGTGCAGAATTTCCAGAAGGGGTGGGTGAGTGTCCGACCGAGTTGCAAGTTGTACGTGAGCCGAAATAATTTCAGCAAAGACTCGGGAGCCGTTCCAGTCTTGCAAGGGGGAATCCGTTGCTTCTGACAGTCGCGATCTTGGTTTGCGATCGTTTGGGGTTGCAGGAGGCGAGAAAGCATGATCCTCACGCAAAAAAAGAGCAAAATGTCGGAGCTGCAGGTACCCGATTCCGTTTTCATTCATTCGTACTTTCATTCATTCTTCGCGGCTGGGTAAAATGACAAGCACGGTGGGAGGAAAACTAAATCCCTTTTTGCAGTTGTCGGTTGCTTTCGGGAACCGCAAACCCATTGCCTTTGAATTTGGCTCTGTACTTACTTTCTTTTCTTTAATTTTTGGAAGTGCTTGATAGTGAAGTTTGCGTTCGCGTTGCATGCTTTTTTTTAAAAAAAAAAAAACTTCTGCGGGAGTTTCGAGCTTTCCCTGCAGCGCGGCATGGGACACTTTGGCACCGCAAGACAAAGTTGCAGGTGGGGGTTGGGGGAAAGGACTGGTGGTTTGTCAACTGTCACTTATTTGGTAATGGTGGAGTTTTTGACCTTGCTTTGCAGGCCTGGGTTTGACAGTTTCTACGGAGGGGAACTTTACCTCCAAAAAATATATATATATAAAAAAATCATCTTGCTGAGGTGCTCGTATGTGGTGACGGGTGATCGTCCGGGGCGAGGACGGCTTGTGGTTGTGGGGAAATGTTGCAGGGTGGAGGTGAATGAGGCTACCCGCTGCTTACTCCTTTTTCCCCTTTGCGCTGCGATGGCACGCAAGCAGCCGGCGAGCGAAAAACCTGCGCCTCGTGGTCTGCAGAAACGCTCGTTCCATGCGGGATTGTTTGCTTAAATTAGCTCGGGAGAGCGTCCACGTGGAGTCGGGGTTGAAGAGCCTTTCTCTTTCGCCCTCGCCGTTTTTCCTCTCAACTTTTCTTGGCACGGAAAGCGAAAGGCTAACCTTTGGAACTCCGGAAAGTTCCGCTTCCCTCCTAGGAGGAGAAAGGAAAAGAAAAGAAAGCGAGGGCAGAGGAGAGAGCCTTGCAAAATCACATATAATTATATATATCAAAATCATATATATATAATTATATATATGGTCATTGCTTGCATGCATGCAGACAGCATTGCTAATCCGGCTGGCAGAAACAATTGGGAGGGGGGGGGGAGAGTCAGTCTGCGCGCTGCCTATTTTATTTTGAGTGGTGGCGCGCTTTCCGAGCCGCTCGCTCGCTCCCTCTGGGTCCAGATCCTCAGCGCCGCGCGAGGAAGAAGCGGGGCTATTATTGAGCTTTGCCCTTGGCACTTGAGAGAAAAGCGCTCGGCTGTGCCAAAAGCGCCGTCTTCTCGACGCAAGCGCGGGACTTTCGGGGCATTTATTTTTAAAGCGATGTGTAATAATGTTCCTCGTTGCAAGAGTGAGGTTGAATAGAAGGACGGCCGGCGGGGGGGCGGTGGACGAAGACACCGCCTCCTCTGCTCCAGTGGGATTGGTGAAGTTCCCCGTTGGCAACGGGCAGGACGGGCGGGGACACAGAAAATAAAAGCACCCGGGGCTCGCTTCTTTCCAGCACCTGTCGGGCGAGAAGACCGGCGAGAAGGATCGCGAGTGACTGCCCTTCGGCTGACTGGAGAATTGCTCGCTTTTTCTTCAATCACAGTGACAGCGGTAGTAGTAATAGTAGTAGCTGTAGTAGTAAGCGGCAGCAACAAATCACTTCCTCCCCGCCCCATCCCCACCCTCCTTTTCTCTCTCTCTCTCTCTCTCTCTCAAATTGGTTGCACAATTGAAGTTCCTTGGCAAGAGCTGAGTATTCATGAGTGTGTGGAGTATTTATGCACAAATTAGCTGGAGGAACGGTCTTAACCCTTTCCGTTTCTGCAGCCTGACACGTCATCTCAGACTGCTCTGAGCGATTGCCCTGTTATGGATTTTAGAGATCAAAAACAAAAAAGTGGAGGGAGGGACAGAAGGATAGAAAGAAAGGTGGACTGCTTCATTAGTTGGCTTTTTTAGTTACAAAATGTGAGAGCACCTGAGTCACACCCTCGTTATCTGGAAAACAAAAGAACAGTTATGGAACTCCACTCAAAAAGCTTATAAAATTGATGTGAACATGGAAACTAAGGGTTTTTTTTTCACATTGTCAAGATTCTCGTTGCCTTGATGCCTGTTAAAATAAGTGCAACTCGTTAATAGGTAACACTTAAAACATACAGTTAAAATCTATACTAACATCTGAGAGCAGAAAAAATATTCAACTATTTGCTACCATCACAGAGATCCTCAAGCTCCTGTTACACTGAGCACCAGCGTGTGTACACACACACACAAACACACCCACACTTAAATTATGCACATAAAATAAACCTCAAATTCATTTTACACAGGAACAGCCAAATCATATGATCAGCACTTTTTGCATGTCATATCAGTTCACAAAAGGTCACTTGATTGTAGGGTTGGTTTCCTAGGGTTGCACTGTAGTCCAATTTAGTTTGGTTTTAAGTATTTTATACTAGTTTTACTGGTCTCTTGTGAGTTTGTAGAATCATGAGAATAGGTGGCACAAAATATGTATGCATATTTATTTTCAAAAATATGGACAAATACAGAAATATTAATATTTAGTTCTTATTTTAAACATTGACCAATTTAATCTGATTTATCAAAATGTATTTTAAAATGGCATTTTAAGTGCATTCTATTAGTGTATTGCCTTCTAGGTACTAAATCATCCATATTTTCTTCTCTACTTTAGATACAATCTTTAGGCTAAACTTTCAAAACTTATGTTTACATTTTCCAGTTGAAAATAAAGTGTTGCTCAATAGAATTTGAAGTAAGGCAACCTTCATTGCAAAATACTTTTGAATTTTACCAGTCTACATGAATTAAACTCGATGTTTTTAGTAATTTCTTCTCTCATATTAGCTTTGAAGAAAAGCTGGGGCAATCAGCAGCTGAAGTACATTAGATGGGGTGGAGGTAGCAATAGTAAGAAAGCTTCAGATTGTATTCTTCTTAGAGATACCTGTACTTGGCCATGAATTGTGAACTTCTTTGTCATTGAAGAGTAGAACAAACCAAACTGACCACTTGAATTTATTTTGCATTGACCATGGGCACTTCGAGGCTACATTGCCATGCATATATGTGCAAATTGACACTCTTCAAAGTCATCCTCAAAGAATTTAGTAGTGTATATCCTTGTAAAATGTGTCTGCTCTTTCTTCAAGTGCATAGAAATTTCGCTTAGTACATGTAAGTGGTAGGTGGGAATGACTTTGGGAGACAGGAGAAAGCAGCAGACGAACAGCTGGTAAAATCAGTGTCCACCGAAGGATATGGGGCAAGGGAGGCTTTTCAGAAGAGACCCTCCTAGTTTTCTGCAGGGTAAAAAGAGGAGCGGGGACAATATTCAGATCTGCAAGAATCTATTATGTATCCCTATAATAAAGGTAGAGCTAATAATATTGTGTTTCTTGCCTGGGACTACATCGAAGGGCTAACTATAGTTTGAACTAGGTCTGCAGAAAACCTGAAGATAGAGAAAGTTCTCACTCTGCTGTCATCTAGTGGTCATCTAGATTTTTGCAGGCTAGATACTCCAAATTTTAAGTGTCTAGGAATGTGATTCCCAAACTCTGTGCCCCAGGGTTCCAGACCCAATTCACAGGGTCACAGTGAAATACTTCACACTTTTAATACTACTGTGTTTGTGGGTTTGTTGTGGTATATGCCAAGGCACCACTGGGATGCTATGAACTGAGGAAGCTTGTAAACTTCTACAAGAGTTATTGTACTAGAGTTATTCTGCATAAGGGATTATTAAATAATATGATAGGATAGTACAAAATACTAGCCTTCCAAAAATGTAAAAACTTGATTTTCATTTGAAAATTAAAATGTAGATTTTTTTTTTTTTACCCGTGTGTGAATTTATGAGGTGTTCTTTGAATGATTTGGCATAAGGATTCCAAATATGTACTTGGGCAAAGGACACAGCCTCTGTTCCCTTTATTGTCCTAAACATTGTATTTTAATTTAAAACCATCATTGGTTGAACAGCTGCCAAATGTGTAATTTACCACTGATCTAACAGCATGAGCAGGTCTAAACATGCATAGTAAGCAGAAGGTTGCCAACCTTTTGCTTGTATCTGTGGATACCAGAAACAGCAGAACCAGTTCAGAATACTACAACAGAATGCAGAACAAAATCTTGTCATGCAACTTTCCAGACAATTACCCCTATAACCTTTGCAAAAGTTGTTGACTTTTGCTAACTTTTTGTAGAACCTGTGATATTGAAATTAAACTCTCACCTTCGGTGCTCTGTCTTAATTTTGCTTTCTGTATTTTCAGCATATATAGCAGTGATGATGAGGATGAAGATGTCGACTTATATGATCATGATTATGATGGGCTGCTCCCTAAGGGTGGAAAACGTCATTTAGGGAAAACACGATGGACCCGAGAAGAGGTAAACTGGCTCATACTAAGAGTTTGTAGAAGACAAAACTTTTAATACCATTTGTGGCTGGCTTCTCAAGCAAGTGGATAAATATAAACTTTTGGTTAATAAATATGAAGCTGAAAACTTACTTTTCTTTTCTTTTAGGTTGCTATGAGTAGCCCTGAGCCTAAAAAAGCAGAGTTTGATTTACAAAACAAACCACATATAAGTAGTTTAGAAACAAGCAATACCTTTTGAGAGGGAAATGATATATAATGTCAATGTTGGGGCCTACTCACACTGGTGCCAGTTGTCATAGTGAGGTGAAAATAGGAACAAGCAAAAAGCCAATGGACAAACGAAGACCCACTAGTTTAGAAGGAAAACAATAGAAAATACTGACTAAATTATTATATTGACTTGGAAGCCTGAGAGCAGTCAATCAGGCAGTGGAAATTCTATTTCTTCTACACATGAAAATCAGCACAACAATAATCATGTGTTTGTATGTCAGTTTGTATGAAAAATGGAGGTGGTTCTTAGGGAGGGCACTGCTTCAGCAATTTTGAATATAGGATTCAACCTGTTGCGACAGATAATGGCTGATTTCATAGCAGTTGGTCAACTGCAATAAGGTGTGTAGAAATTGGCATTATGGATTTGATAGAAAATACATAGAAGCCATTAGAAACATGAGTATTATATGTTGCTGGGATTTATATGTCATGCTTTGGTTGGTTTCCACCATTTCATAGGGTCAGGCCCTGAGGCAATAACACATAAACCAACTTTTCTCATTTCTAATGTTGTCATACAAGAAACAAAGACTGAAACTTCTTTTAGTCACAATCCCCCTTGTAGACAGATAATCAGTTACAGGTATTATAAGGAAAGTCATCCTGTTAGTTTCTACAGCATGCGTATAGGATGGGTAATGACTAGGTTCGCACATTACACTTCTAGAATGTTCCCTGTTTTCAGCTTCCCAGTTGTTATCAGGATGCAAACTCAGCCAGTTATGGTTAATTCCATAGCAGTAGCAATAGCAATAGCACTTAGACTTATATACTGCTTCACGGTGCTTTACAGCCCTCTCTAAGTGGTTTACAGAGTCAGCGTACTGCCCCCAACAATATGGGTCCTCATTTTACCAACCTTGGAAGAATGGAAGGCTGAGCCAACCTTGAGCTGGTCAGGATTGAACTCTTGGCAATTGGCAGAGTTAACCTGCAATACTGCATTCCAACTACTGCACCACCATGCTCCCATAAATATTCATGTTCAATCATAAATCATGGTTAAACAAACAATGGGTTAAAATGAAATGTGAATGAGGACAATGCTTAAAATATGTTTCAGACTTCAAGAAGGAATTAATTTCAAAACAAAAACTAAATATAAGGCTGGCCACTTATTAAAATTGGTGTTGAGCTTAAAACATTCTTTGAGTATGTTCAAGTAAAGTTTTTAAATAACTGAATTGTATGTTTAGAACAGTGATTCTTACAATATTATGAATGTTTACCATCTAACCAAATAATAGGAATATAGTCTTTTTAGAAAGCTAAATTTTAAGAATTGAATGATTAGCATTTTTAATTCACATATGTAGTGTTCTCTGTATTTGTTTGGCACAGCTTGCTGTGTTAAAATACTGAATTTGCAATACTATGCTGGCAATAACTTCATCTGACTTTTTGCTGGACACTCGAATTTTCATATTTAGTTTGCTTTAGTTTCAGTAACACGTTGATATGAAAACATTGACAGGTTATTTTCCCAATGGTTTTATAAAAACTTAGGTTGTTGTTGCACTATTTGGCAACTCTCCAAAATAGCTTCTGTGGCTTAAGGTTGTGCTTTCTAAACTCTTGCTAGAGGTTACTGGGTCAAATAATCACAAGGAAGTGGTCATCAAAATTGCAATAAATTAGCACATTTCTTTTTATATGGCCACAGAGAATAGCTTAAGGATAGTTGTTGTACTGTTCAAACCAACGTTTTGGTGAAGTTAGTTGAATATGGTGCCAGTTAGAGCAGTGCCCCCCCAAACTTCTGAGACCAGGAACTGTTTCTATGGAGAAAGGTTTTTCCCGCGGACTGAAGAAGGCATGGCTTTGCATGCTGCCTGCATCCTGTGGATGAGGCTTCATTTGTTTGCACAGCCTGGTTTCTGGCATGCCACAGATCGGTGCCGGTCCATGAACAGGTTGGGGACCCCTGAGTTAAAGTGTTGAACTTTAATTGCATCTGGAAGAATGCTTCTGCATGGCGATGCTTTATGTTGCAGCATAGTATTTGAAAAATCTCTTTCTTCGTGCTTTGTGTGTTTAAACCCAGCATACTTTTAGTAATACTCATAAGACAATATTCCAGGTAGTACAATGCATCCTACTCGCAGGTACATTTTTTATTAACATGTTTGTGAAAGTAGCCATACGTTAAACACTAGAGTTCAGAGGTTATTGCCCTATCATTTAACAGTGACTGAAATTATGACAGTGATGAATTAGTGATGAACACTCCCCAAAGTCCCAGGCATTGGACTATCCCATGATCACATCAGCTAATGAGGATTACCTGTAGCATCAAAAGAAGTGCTTATCTGGAGTAGTTGACAAGATAATGTTGGCACTATCATAGCAAAGGCCATTCTTGTTCTATCTTGTATGATTACAAATAACAGTTCTTGCAACCAAGTAAAATGTTGAAATGCAGAAAGATTAATGATTGGCAAAACATTATAGTTAACTTCATATTCAGTGAACTTTCCAGTTACACTAATTCATTTTTGTACTGTAAATTAAATGACTTCAACACGGATTGTGCCAATATAGAAAGTGATTAAAGCAGCCTTCTTCAACCCAGCCCTCTGGATAAGATAAACTACAGGTTCATGAGTTTCAGTTGGCATAGCCAATAAGTTTGTTCATTAGAAATTTGAGGACTGTGGTCCAAACTGGAGTACAGTTGACTTATCTACACATCAACTTAAATTAATCAAGAACATCAAGTTAGGAGATGCTGGAATTATATGTGAAACTTGAACTATGATACTGTCTTTGTATTTCTTCATTTCTATTTTTGATCATTTGTTGGCTTTGGACAGTTCACTATGAGAAGCTACATTGCAGTTGCTGTATAGAAGAGTTTTTTTCTCACGTAGTAAAATTGAACCTAACCAATCAACTACAGTATCTCTAGCTAGTGATATGGATGCCAAACATCATGGAAATTGGATGTCAACAATGGTAGATCTATTTGTTGTATATGCATTGTTTAAGTCAATATGTGGATAAGTCAAATAAATGCATCTAGACAGCAATATATTCAAGATAATGCTAGAGCAGGGATATCAAACTCACATTGTCATGGCAGCATCATGTGACGTATCGGGACTTTCCCCCCCTTGCTAAACCAGGCGCGGACATGGCCAACATCCAGCCCACAGGCCAGGAGTTTAACAGCCCTATGCTAGAGGCCTTAATTAAATGCATTAACTAAATGTGTGATGTGTTTGAGTCTTGTTTAAGAGGCAGGCTAGTCAACCAGGTTACTCAATTTTGGTCTCTGCATGGGTCATGCGATCGCAATTTGCAACCATATCAACCAGCTTCTGACAAGCAAAAGTCATTTGGGAAAAAACAGATTTGCTTAACGACCACATATTTCACTTAGCATCTGCAGTAATTGACTTAACCAAGGCAAAGAGATCATAAGATCAGGCTGACTCAATTAACTATCACCTTGTTTAGCAATGAAAATTCTGGTTCCAATTGTGGTTGTAAGTGGAAGATGACCTGCAGTGTTGTGTACCAGTTGATAAGCCACCTTTTTCACTGTTACGGTTTGTTTCATCCGAACCTTTGTCTTAACTGAATATAATAAAAACATATGATGCATACAAGTCTCAAACGGGGTGTGTACCTAGGAATGCAGCAAATAGGCCAACCTTATTGTTCATATGCTCCAACAAATCCAATTCTCTGCCAATGTCAGGCTGATAAGGTGAAATTGTGAAGAGACTCCTTCCATCAGTTTGGCTTTAAAAATAAATTGTAACTATGGTTGATTACCAATGAATTGCAGGAATCCTGGCCTCTGCAAGCATATACATACATCCCTCCCTGGCCATTTCCATCCACACACATATTTCACCCTGAACTTCTGATGATGTCAGGAAGAGCCAGCTGTGGTAGTCAAGGCATATATAAATGGATAGAGAGAGAAACGGGCAGGATCTGTATCGTGTTTATTTTTCTGAAGACAAAGCCCTGGTATATTAAAAGAAGAAAAACAAATGATCTTTAAAAAGTTTAGTTACATAAATTTTCCTGACTTCTGTGGCAGTTTTGATCTTCATCAGTCATAATAAGTTTTCAGTGCTGATTTCAGCTTAGCTTACCAGTTGACAGCTTTCCAAATATAAAATGTCACACTGCTTTCATTGAAGAAAACTACCCAGTTGAGAAATGGGGAAGCAAAAGACAACCATGTTGCCTCAAACAATTAAATTGGAAATCTCACATGGAAAGCAAGAATATTCAACAATGCATAATGCTGGTTTGGTCTTTCCCCTGTTTTGAAATGAAACCCCCAAATAATGGAATGCATCTTACTGTCTTAGGATGAGAAGCTAAAGAAACTTGTGGAGCAGAATGGCACAGAAGATTGGAAAGTTATTGCCAATTTCCTTCCTGTAAGTAGGCCTCTTTTCTGTTTATAACCACACATTTATCAGTGTGCAAGGAGAGAGGTTGTTTCATAATTACAGATGGAGACTAAATAGGCATTTGGGAGACTTGCAGAACTCAAATTTATATACACTTCTTTCACTTCTCATGTGAAATAAAGGACGGAAAATATAAAGAGCCTTTGGGGGGAGATTTTATGTACAACAGATGGCTGATACATCATAGCTTTCACATAGTGAAACAACAAAAACTTCAGAATAGAAGTTGACTGTGATCTTGGGTTGCTCCGCTTGTTAAATATATATTTCTAGTAAATATGGTTGCCAAAATGCTAAAGGTAAAAAATATATTAGTAAGAATAGCTTGCTTATGATCAAAAATTAAAATGCTGTCAGTTATGAAAAACTATTAACAAAGCACCTGGCAGCTGAAACAGATAGATAGTTGACTTCTAGCAATGCGTAGCTGTGTGTCTGTTTACTTCTCTCTGTACCTCTGTACTTATTCTTTGTAGCTGTACAGATGGTATCCTGAGCAGTAAAACAAAAAGGCAAGTGGGACCCTGCAGTAAACATTGGCAGTTCAGATGTTTCTGGATGACATTAACATCTGTAGCATTTTGTAATAATTTGCTTTGGATTTTGTTCTGCAATCCTAGAATCGGACGGACGTACAGTGCCAGCATCGATGGCAAAAGGTGCTAAATCCAGAACTTATAAAAGGCCCGTGGACTAAAGAAGAAGATCAGCAAGTATGTTTGAGTAATCTGGATTTTACCGCTTCCTTAACATTTAATATTGTGTCCAAACAAGCTGTATTCCAAAAGTAAAAACTCTGCATTTATATAGAGCATTGGCTTTTTTCTCTTATTGCTACATAATTTTTTTTTTAACAGACTCTGATGCATCCTTGAAAATTTACCAGCGTTTTAAATTGTTCCATTGAGATAGCCCTAATGTAGAAGGTTTCACAGACAGATCGATAAACCAAGTACATTCAACAGCAACTATAAGGGGGAAGAAGGATGGAAGCAGTGTCTCAGTGCAAGCCACGCCTCTTTTGTATAATGTTGTGGATATGAAAAAGACAGAGCTTGTAACATGATATTGCTTTTATCATTCTGGTGAAATCAGCAAGCTTCCTATAAGTACAGCCAAACACATTGTGATGTAATTATTTAAGTTACTAATTAAAACTTTTCAAAAAAGTATTTAACAGGTAGCAGTTATTTAATTTTGAATATTATATTCAAAATAGCGTGGATTCTATTTTATTTTTATATTGCAGAAGATATCACCTCTAAAACACTGCCTATTGTTACACGCATCTCATATTAAGCAAAGAGTCTGTTATGCCCTTCAGAAGTCTGTTTGTTTACAAATGCATAGCATGGTCTTGTTATTGAAATTAAAGCTCCCGTGCTTAATATGGCTGACTCATCAGAAGAGAGTGCTTATAACTTTATTTATTTTTATTTATAAATTGCTTACAAGATAATAGGTATAAGTAAAACATAATTATGAATATATGGGTACATGTAAGAAAAATAAAAAATATATAAAAGAAACAATAGGACAGGGACAGTAGGCACGTTGGTGTGCTTATGCACGCCCCCTACAGACCTAATAGGAAAGGTGTGAGATCAGTAGTAGACTGTCTAAGGTTAAAGTTTTTGGGGTTTGGGGAGAAAAAAAACACAGTCAGGTAGAATATTCCAGACATTGACCACTCTGTTGCTGAAGTCGTATTTCCTGCAATCAAGTTTGGTGCAATTAACCTTGAGTTTGTATCTATTGTTTGCTCTTGTATTGTTATGGTTGAAGCCGAAGTATTCATTGACTGGTAGGACATTGCAGTGTATGATTTTATATACTACACTTAGATTGGACCGAAAGCGGCGTAGTTTTAGGTTTTCTAGGTCTAGAATTTCAAGTCTGGTGGCATAAGGTATTCTGCAACGAGTAGAGGAGTGGAGAACTCTTCTTGTGAAATATTTCTGGACTTTCTCAACTGTGTTAATATCAGATACGCAGTGTGGGTTCCAGACTGATGAGCTGTATTTGAGTATTGGTCTAGCAAATGTTTTGTACGCTCTAGTTATTAGTGTAATATTACCAGAGAAAAAGCTACGTAAGATTAGGTTAACAACTCTTAACGCCTTTTTGGCTATGTAGTTACAGTGGGCTCTAGCACTTAGGTCATTTGAGATGAGTACTCCAATCTTGGTGGAAGAAAGAATTTCAAATACAGAATAAAATCACCACAGTGAATATCCTTTCATTTCAGCAGGCTGTTTCTGAGCATTGGAGTCATCCAAAACATATTGAGGGAGGGAGATTGAAGTCTGCTGCAAATTAGGGGAGCTTGTTTAGAAGTTGAAATTGGAATTCACTGTGGGTTTTTTTATTAAGATTTCTCTAATCAGGTAGCAGGCAATTATTTGGTGCAGTATAGTGATTTCAGTTTGGCTCTACTTATATAACACTTAACCACTAGAGATAGTTCTTTATATTGTTGTTGTTGTTGACGAATGTTGTTGACAAATGTATCTTTTATGTACACTGAGAGCATTTGCACCTAGACAAATTCCTTGGGTGTCCAATCACACTTGGCCAATAAAGTATTCTATTCTATTCTATTCTATACCATTGTTATTTATTTGCAGGTAATAGAGCTTGTACAGAAATACGGCCCTAAACGCTGGTCTGTCATCGCCAAGCACTTAAAGGGAAGGATTGGGAAACAATGCAGGGAGCGTTGGCACAACCATTTGAATCCAGAAGTGAAAAAAACATCCTGGACGGAGGAAGAGGATAGAATTATTTATCAGGCACACAAGAGGCTTGGGAACAGATGGGCAGAAATTGCAAAGTTGCTACCTGGACGGTAAGGTCAGAACATAACAATTGAAAAGAAACCTGGATGGAGTGAAGAGCTTTTTTGACCTTTTTTTAAGCAGAAAAATATTCTGCACTTTAAAAAAAATAAAGGTTGCTATCTGTTACGTTATAATACATCAAGTGATAGACAAGTCTGACAGGTTTAATTCCATTTATAATTTTTTTCAGTTAAAGTTTAGTTATGTATCTTTAAAAAACAAAATCTAAAAAATTTGGATACCTTTTTTTTGCATATTTCTAATACATTTTTATATCCAGTTTTCCTAATGCATGCTTTTGCAGCAATGATTTTTTTTTTGCTTAATAATACATTTCCCTGTTGTATTTTTTGTTCCAAGTTTTTCATACAAGGGTCAGTCTGAAACTCGTGAGTTGTGGGGTGCCATTGGATCATAGCATTGCACGTTAACAGAAGAAGGGCTAAAATACACAGCTGTATATCTTAAAGGTTGTGCTTAGCAACAACAAAGAAGTGGGGATAAATTAGGTTAACACTTTTGTGAAGTAAAATACTTGCATTTTCATCTTCTTCCCTTCATAATCACAGCTTCCCTCTAATAATGGATTAAAGCCAAAATAATGGATTAAAAAACACCCCTTTGAACCCTCAGCCACCCCCCCCCCCAAAAAAAAAAAAAAATGCCTGCCCATGCCTTAATGTCTGCAAAATATTTTTATCAAGTCTGGAGAAAATGCAGGTATGAAGGGGAAAAACTTTGCACACAGGAGTGTGAAGTAAAACTTATATAACTTTGTGAATTAAGCCAGTGTTCCATCTACATTTTGTGTGATTGCAGCAACAAGCTAGATAAGATGTATGTTTTGTGTTGAAGCTTTATTAATATAGCTTCTTTCTAGAGGCCATTTTCTCAATTATTTCTGATCTATAGATTCCTTCATATGATTGCATAGATTATCTCCTATATCGCCAGAAAGCAAGAATCATTGTACTTAATGCTTCTATGACAATCAGAATTAGATGAGAAGTGACACTGGCTTATGGACATTTCTATGAGTGCTGTATAGAGATCCATGTCCTACTATTCAGATTCCTGTGGATACAAAAAAAGAGGAAGCATAATCAACTTCCTTTTTTTTCTAATTAATGTACAAAGTGCTTGTCGTGAATATATTTTTCATAATGTAATACCATATCTTGACTTCTTTTAAAGATTGCAAAAAAAATTTAAAAAACCCCCTACTGTAGACTGGCTGTTGTATGATCAAGCTACGCTAGAGTGGACCAAACACGTAGGCAATCCATTTTTCTTATAAGAATGTGGAAAAGCTGGAAATAGGTCCTAAGTATAGTTGTCAACTGTTAACAATTGTTCTGTCTCTGTAACTAGAAGTAATAGTTAAAACCTGTTATCCCCTTGCTGTTTGTAGACTACCGTAACACTCTTCTAAAAGAATATACCAAATTTACCCAGTTTTGCTAAGGCTTCTAAAGTTAACCAAGAACCCAAATGGATGGGGTGCAGAAGGTCTGTGAGGGTAAATAATAGTTGTTATAATACAGCTCCATTGACCTTAGAAGATTTTGGAAGTGATTAATTTCATCCATCTCTTTAACCACTTCTAGCCTCATGAGGAACTTGGGAAGAATAACTTATTTTCGCAAAGGTTTACAATACATCGTATTTTTTCAATGTATTCGTAAGGTTCTCATTAAATTCAAGCAACATTAATAGTGTTATGGATTCTTGTTGCTCATGTATTTCTCAGATAGAACTTGAATTCAAGCAGCTATTTCTTTCATTTGCCTATTTCATTGGTTTAATTCATTAGTCTAGAGAATAGGAGGAGGAAATCCCTTTTGCATTAAATATGTTCATTGGTTTCATGCAGCCAGGTTCCTTTTAGCCTGGCAGATTTCCCTTTATATTTCACAAATGAGGAGCCCTGATACATACTAAAAAATCAGGAAGTTGCTCCATGTCCCCAACGTGAACTTTACGTTAGGGATGCAATGTCTGGGATGGGAGAAGGCTAATATGAGTTGGCTTCAGAAGTGGTTGGGAGATTTGCTTTGCATGTAGCAATGTATTATTGTATTTTGTGGCTAGTTAAAAAGAGATAGTGGGTTAACTAAAATACAGAGTGAAATAAGCATCTTGAAGCTCCATAGGAAGCTCCTACTAGAGTTCTGAAACGTTAAGTAAAACTCATAATAATTAAATAATTTTTTCTTCCCAGTCAACATAATTAGGTCTGAAAATTCTGTTTGTGCAACATATATTTTTTCTTTTGCCAATGTTCTTGTGCAGAACTGATAATGCTATCAAAAACCATTGGAATTCTACAATGCGTCGAAAGGTTGAGCAAGAAGGTTATCTTCAAGAGTCTTCAAAAGTCAACCAGCCTTCAGGTTTTCCAAAGAACAATCATTTAATGGGTTTTACCCATACTCCACCTTCTGTGCATCTGGCAACAGACACTCAAGCCGCAGCGGCCAATGACTATTCGTATTACCATATTTCTGAGACGCAAAATGTAAGCTAATGGAAACTGTTGGATTAAAAGTTAGATTTCTCAGCAATTGAAATAGTGCAGTTGCATCCATAATGCAATTTGACAGTAGTATCTTGTTTGGATATGAGGTGTCTGTGACCCAAAATACCATTGATGTTTACGTTGTTTTTGGTTGGATCAGCATTAGATACTCCTAGATTATACTGGGTGGCCAGGAAAAGTGCTAATTAGGATTTCTCAGTTAACTTGTAGATTTTTATGTAAATATATTACACTAAAAACTGAGATTTTCTAAATAAACGCACAAAGGATTACCCTCTGAAAGTAGGCCTGCATTGACTTTACTGAGAATAAAGCCTGCTTAAAATGGAACTCACTTTTGCCTGAACTTCTGTAGGATCGTTCTCTAAATTGCTTCTTCTTGCAAACAACTCTTGTCAGTAAATATGCTCACAGCTCAATATTTTTGACTCTAGATCACAGTGAAGTAAATGCAGAGAGGCACCTATTATCTTTTTTGATGATACTGTAAATGTTTTAATTTTTTAACTTTAATAATACATTGCAAGTTAATGCAAAGAAAAAACTTACGCATCCTTTGGACCTAAATATATACCTTTCTCCTAATCTACACATCTGCTAGTCTATAAACTGGCTAGAGACCAAGTAATTAGTTTATTAGTTACACTGTACATGGATATATGTCATAATCATTACTAATTGCATAAAATAGATGTAAGAAAATCTCCAAAAATCCAGCAAGGCCCTTTTAAAAAATGTAATTTGTTATTATGCATGGAATAATTTGAAAGTATAGAAAAAACTATTCAAAATTTGCCAGGACTCAGAAAATATCAACTTATAAGACAAGTATGTATATTTTCTTTGGGTTTTTAATTTTAACTTGCATAACGTTTGAGATAAAATGAAATGTTGAGGTGAATTATTTCAGGACTTGGAGGTGGGTAGCATCACATGGTTGTGCATTTTTATGTAAGGTAACACAATAGGTAATTGTGTTCTGTTCTTCATATCTGAGCTATAACAGAGAACATGATATTCTAGATTCACTGCCATAATGGTTTATCCATATTTTTCTGTTAATGTTTATGAAGCAATTAAGGTCTATTGCAAACCAGCAATTAATTCTAAAAGGCAAGAACAGAATTCTTTAATTTTCTGCTGGATATGATAAAAAAAAAAATCTATCATTCCAGGAGTGGCCCTAATGGCAGTGGTCGTGATGCCACCAATTTGTTGTGGTTGTTTTTGCTACTAATTACCTGGCTACTTGAAAACTTCCTTGTAAATTTTTATTGAAATTGTTAACTTCAAAAGAACACACTGTTGCATTTCAAGGAAACAGAATGATTAACGTGAAAGCTTTTGTTGTTTCTTTAAACCAATTATGTAATTGGGAAGTATTTTAGCATGACAAATAATTTACATTTTTAAAATTTGTGTTTTGCTTTGTTCATTTTTTTGGTGTAGGTCTCTCCTCAGATCCCATATCCAGTAGCACTTCATGTAAATATTGTTAATGTACCCCAGCCAGCTGCTGCAGCTATTCAGGTAGATGATTTTAAAGATAATTTGAAGAGTCAATTTGATGTAGATCTGATGTGAAATTAGATGCAAATACTTTATTTTGCAGTCAAGCAAAAGCAAAGCTTTTTTATGTTTTATGGCAAATGTTAAAGAAATAATTTTGTAGGTAAAATGCTGTGGCCAGCTCTAGTCTAGTATTAGCAAATTTGATTCCAATCTTGAAAAGGTGTGGAATTCTGGGAGTTCAAGTCTATACATCTTCAGGTTTACAAGATAGGGAAACACCGTTTTAGAAGAAACTAGCTGAGCAACATATACTCAAATTTGGTGAGAAAAACTGCAAAAGCAGAAGGGGAAAATATATTCCAAGAAAGGAGGCATACTTGATTGAATTTAACCTCTAATTTGCTCAACCCAGTTATCAGGGAAACTAGTGTTTTATTTACATTCTAAAAAGGAGATCAGAGAGGATGCAATGTTGAAATGAGAATTTCAAAGTTAGAAATCACTCCAGAAATGATATCTTTAGTGTCATGTTCTCAACGTGAATCTCTATAAAAGTTTAGTGGAGGCATTCTTCAGCCAGTAGAAGTCTCTTAGGCAGGGATGGGATTCAACCGGCATAACTACCTGTTCTGTTTCTCTGTGTCACGCGCGTGCAATTTTCGACTGCTGAGCTGCCTGGACAGCTGAGCAGCGCTGCGTGTGGGTGCGCAGCGGTTCGAAAAGCCCTTTTTTTCCTGCTTTTTCAACCGCAGCTGTGCCACACAAAGCTGCTGTGGTTGAAAAAGCAGGAAATAAAGGACAGGTAAGAGCCCGGGCTGACGGGTTGGCCAAAACAGCAGCAGACACAGAACCGATTCTGTGTCTGCTGCTCTTCAGAGCTACTGGTTCTGTAGAGCCGGACAGAACCGGTAGAATCCCACCCCTGCTCTTAGGCCTATCTACAACATGGTAGGGGCCATTCTTATCATGGTGACTGCAGCACCTGGCTGGGTCTTTACTTTCTCTTTTCCCTTAACTCTTAATTTCAGAGACACTATAATGATGAAGACCCTGAGAAAGAAAAACGAATAAAGGAATTAGAGTTGCTACTAATGTCGACTGAGAATGAACTGAAAGGGCAGCAGGCATTACCAGTAAGAATGTACTTGGATGGAGGGATAGCAGCTTTACCCCAGTGCTTCTCTCTTCCTCTTCCTTCATTTTCTCTCTTTTTAGGATACTAATTGGGACTCTATATTTCCATTGACTGGGACAAAATATTATAGACTTCTTACCTGGTTTATGCTGAGATTAAATATGAGATATGACATTATTTTGCACATAATGGAAATGTAGTGTCTAACTCTTGCATTTTGTCTCTCCATGGTGGATTTCTTCAGCTACATGTTACTTTGTCCTGTGATTCTGAAACTTCCATAGAATGTTTAATTTAATGGCCACCCTTTTCATCCAATATGTCATTTCACATTTCCAAAATAATGCAAAATGAAAAATCATTTGGATTTTGCAGTTCTCCGATGAAGAAGTATGTGCAAAAGTGAATAATACACTCAGAAATATTTTTAGTAGTTGATATTACTTAGAGAAATGGATCATTACTCATTTGCAAAGAACATATGCTAGGAAAAATTGCATGTGAAATACATCTATGGGACCAAATATACACAAGAAAGATCTATACTTTTTATGCAGTTTAAAAAAACTGCATAACGCACAGTCAACCCAGTGTAGAAATAGGATGAATTGAACTTAGGGACAGAAAAATGAAAACTTGAGAGGAATCCAAATGAACAATGATGTTGACTCTTCCTTTAAATATTAAATATTTTACACATATTAAAGCCATTTTGATGTAATGGTGAAGGTACTGTCCTAAAAATCAGAAGTCTTAAGTTTTAGGCTTTCCTTAAGTATGAAAGCCATGTGAGTGGCTTAGGGCAGTTAACTCTCTCTTAGTCCATCCCACCTTGCAGTGTTGTGGTGAGGACAATAGCAGGCAAGAATATTACAGGAGCAATAATGAGCCTTGTTGGTGCAGTGGTTACAGTGCAGTACTGCACGCTACTTCTACTGACTGCCAGCCTGGTGCAGTTTGAACTGCAGTTTGGCAGTTCAAACCCCACCAGGCTCAAGGCTGACTTAGCCTTTCATCCTTCCGAGATGGGTAAAATGAGGGCCCAGATTACTGGGGGCAATAGGCTGACTCTCTAGAGAGGGCTGTAAAGCACTGTAAACCGGTATATAAGTCGTAAGTGCTATTGCTAATAGCAATAGGCACCTTAGGTGCAACTCTAGAATAACTGGAGCACGACTTGAACATTACTGACATCGAGAAAATCGCCACCAGACAATTGGAAAAGGTAGCTTTACTTTGAACAGCCCACATCCTGCGACGATTCCTTTAATACCATCAAACAGCACTTGCCAAATCCAGTCTAAACATCTGGCTTATTGTGCAACCAACCATACTATTAATAATAATACAAGACATGTGTAGCTCTTCCCTCCGCCCAAACCCCAGTACCTCTCTTCTCACCAGCAAATGAGTAACAGGAAAGAAGCGGGTGAAGAGTGAAGCCTCCCTCTGTCCACACCCTGCTTACCTGATGCTTTTCAGAATGCCATAAGCATCCTTTGCCTGGGCCACTTTTGGCATACCTATTGCATCGTGGACATGTTGCATCTAGTTTAATTGGCTTGGGAGACTGCAGTTCCAAGTGGTTTGGGAATCACGGTCCAAGTAATTTTATGATCCTTTTCATGTTTTCTTTAAGGAGTTAGATTCCATAACTGCATGAATCAAACCAGAGCTGGCTATTACTTTAATAAATAAATTTGTTTTCCCTCCCTGTTTCTTTTAAAAAAGAAACAAAAAAATACAGACCAACTTATGAAATGAATTAATACAGGTATTGCAGGAAAAAAAACCCAGTGGTAGCCAGCAGAAACTTCTGTGTATAATTGAATTCTATTAATGTTTAATTTCTAGTTAATACGACAAAGCAACTGTGTGCATGCCATTTTGGTTCGGCCACTTCTAATTTTTATTTATTTCAATTTTGCAATTTCTTATCTTGCATGGTTATACTATAAAGAGACTTCTATTAATTTGCTTTTCTGCTTTCTTAACCACATTGATTTTACAGCCTTTCCATTGCATTGGTGTAAGCTGTGGTACTAAACAGGGATAGGAAAAAGTCCCCCAAAAGTCAATGCTGGTTCTAATCTTGACCCATAAAAATAAATCAGACCAGTTCAGGTGACTTCAGATGTGATAATGGAGAAGACCTAAAAGATTTAATTTCTAAATCCTTTAGGAACAGACAAGCGTGAGCTTGTATTAGAGAAAACCTGCCATTTCTTTGCTTCTCACCAGAAAAATGAATTCAGCTACTTTGGTGAAACAACGCCATGATTGTGTAGCTTAAAATTATACTTACTTGCCCAGGATGCAGAGTTGTTGCCCAAAATGAGGTAATGCCAAAATGAGAGCTATAAATCTTCTACCCTTCTAAAATCCCGCTCTTGCTGCACTGATGAAAGGAAACATCTTGACAACTGTTTCATAGGCATTAAGTGCTTAAATGATGCAACCACTTTTATCTTTTCCTTCAACAGCCATCTGACGCCTTGTGCAATTTCATTAGTAAGTTCCTCCTGCCTTTCTTTTTCTTTCTCCACTTTCCCTTCTCATCCCCGCTTCCCCCTCTTTTTAGACTCAGAATCACACTTCAGATTATCCAGGATGGCACAGCACCACAATTGCAGACAATACCAGAACCAGCGGTAATGGTGCAGCCCTTTCCTCTTTGGGGGAGCATCACTGCACTGCCTCCCCACCAATGGACCACGGCTGCTTGCCTGAAGAAAGTGCATCCCCTGCAAGGTGCATGATTGTTCACCAGAGTAACTTCCTGGATAATGTTAAGAATCTCTTAGAATTTGCAGAAACACTTCAGCTAATAGATTCCGTAAGTAGAACGATCATCTTCTAAAATGTGACTGTTAGGGGAATCTGCCTGCTGTGTCTACAACAGTGGGGTTTACATATATATATATGTATGGTCATTCTTTTCTAAATGTTCATGCCACCAGCTTAAAAGGCTAAATACAGGTAGTCCTCTACTCATGACCACTATCGAGCCCAACATTTCTGTTGCCAAGTGAGAAATTTGTTAAGTGAGCTTTGCCGCATTTTACGACTTTTTTTGCCATATTTGTTAGGGTGAATCTGGCTTCCCCATGGACTTTGCTAGTCAGAAGGTCACAAAAGGTGATAACATGGGACACAGCAATGGTCATAAGTATGAACCAGTTGCCAAGCATCTGAATTTTGATCATATCATCATGAGGATACTGTAAAGGTCGTAACTCTGAAAAACGGCCATGTCACTTTTTTTCAGTACCATTGTAACTTTGAATGATCCCTAAATGAACTGTTATAAGTAGAGGGCTACCTGTAACAATTTTCACAATTGCTGTATGGCTACTAAAATGTTTGTTTCATAAGTTTCTTAAAGTTCAGTCATTTATATGGCTACTTGGAATTAAGTCTTGTTACATCTTATTAAATCTTATTAAATAATACAAGTATTGCTGAGTAAGAACAGGTTAGCCTAATCTTGGGTTTGCCTAGTTTGAGGAATGTAGTATTTATTAAATTCATATAAATGTAGAATGCATGCATTCTGGAAATTGTGCTCAATATGAATGTTCAGATGAAACAGTTATTCACTGAATAACCACCCAGAGTCACCTTGTAGGAAGATGATGAGTGGCATAAAAATAATAAAATAAACAAACAAACTTCATAAATAATATGATTTGCCTAATTATAGCAAAAACATTACGTAAGCTATAAAAGTAATACCATATTAAATCTTCTATTTCAGTAATATATTAGACTTTTGGATCCCAGCTTCTTTATAGTGCTGATGGTTTTCTTTTATCATAATTTCAATAAAATCATTGTATTTTTAAAGATTCTAACTAAAGAGTAAGAAGCACTGTAATTTGAGACAAGTTTTAATAAACTAAAAATACATGAAATTAATAATATTATAAATACTGATTGATACACAATTTTCCATTTAAGGATGTTGCTATTGTATAAGTAAAATATATTTTATAAAATATATTTCTGTAACAAGACTTTTTATAATCGAATGAACAGCCAGTTTGAGATAAAGCTTGTTCTTTTTTGGAATATACCATTAGGATGGTTTGTGTCTTAATTTTTATATTTCGGGAAAGTATCACTACTGGGTCAAACTCAGTTTAAAAGGAACCGATCTTTCTCCTTTGGTTAATGCTGTTATGTTGGTAATTCAGTTGAGCTTCTTAAAATAGGTAGGAGGAATATGCACTCTCTCATAGACTCGTGGCTTCCCCCATTGTTTCCAGGATCTGTCGTCAAGCGTTGATCTCAGCAGCTTTGAATTCTCAGAAACATCATATGCTTCACCTACCCAGGTTCCCTCAGACAGAACCCCACAGCTTCAGAAAACAGACAGCAGTGTGTGTAGGCCTGCAGGACACCCTCTTGCAGACTTGAGCAGAGCCATGTTGAGTCAGGATTCCTTTGCCTTACCAAAGTCCTTGACTGGCTCCAAAGGTGGCCCGGCTCCATTGGTCATTCTGCGTGCAAAGAGAAGCCATCCCATGAACCATTTAGCCAATGGTCATAATAAGTCCTTCATTCTTGCTGAAGTCAGCAGCTCAACTCCTAAGCATTCCCCTGTCAAAAGCCTGCCTTTCTCTCCTTCCCAGGTAGAGCAATTCTGTTTAAATGTTACTAATTCTCTAAGTCAGTAGAGTCACAGGGAAACTAATCTTTGGGGCAAATGACTAATTCCTGCTCTGCTTGTTAATGCATTCTGATTTTGAATCTACCCACTGTTGAGTTTGGAGAGCAAACAATCTAACTTACCTATATACTTAATTTTTGATGATTTGGGGAGGATTTGTTGTCTGTTTGCTTTACTCTGACTTGTAAATTCCTTCATCTGTCCAAAATTAGCATTCCTGTTTCCCATAATCATTTTTTATTTCATCCATTTTGTAAGATATTTCATATAATCCCAGAATTTGGGTTAAACAATAACTTCCAAATTATGTACTAACAAGTTCATTTTTTCAAAAAGAAAATCACATTAACCTAATAATGAAAATAAATTTGGAGGGTATTGGAGGAATTGTGTCATGTGACTTACAAATGTTGAATGGATATGCTTAAATTGTCTTGGTCACATAGAAGATTTAAACATAAATGTGTTTGCTTAAATAAACTGCTGGACTTTCTTGGAACAATCTAAAATGATGAGTTAATAAATTCATCTTTACTAGTACTGCAGTTCTGGGGTTTTTAAAAAAAATTGTAATAGTCTTTGGCAAACAAAATCAAATATTTACATTTTAAAAGCTCTGTGCATCACCCATGCTGTTAAAGCAAAGTAATGTTTTAACAAGGAAAATATGAATTCATGTTTCCTTATCTGTTTCTATTTAAGAAAAAACCTCCTATGTTTGTTCTACTTTAGCTGGAGGATTCAGAAAGCAAATTTGTTCTTCCCTGATAGCTAAAATTCCATTGAAATAGGTAGTTATTCTTTAAATATCATCTTGGAACAAATCTAAAGAAATGGATTTGAATAAGCTTAAGCAATAGAAATGTAAAATTTTGGAAATATGATAATCAAAATGCATAACAGCATTCACATTCTTACATGAAATTAGTACTGATGCACAAAGTTACACTGAATTCCTTTTCTTTACTTCTCTTGGTTTTACTTGATTACACTATTTCAAATAATAAATAAACCATTTAATAAACCATTAATCCCATACAAATACACCTTTGCAGTTCTTCAGCACTTCTTCTATCCAAGAAAGTCTGGATCTGGACAATCCTATTTTAAATTCCACTCCCCTATGTACTCACAAAGTTGCTGTTACAACGCCTCTTCAAAAAGACCAAGCATTTAAGAGCCAGAAAGAAAGTAATTCGTAAGTCTTCTTAAATTATACTTTTGGCAGCAGTTTCAACTCTTAGTGAGAATGTTGCAGATATTTTGTACTTGTGTGGAATTGCTATGCAAATTATTTTCTCCTTTGTCTAGGTGAAGGATAGCTTGGTGCTTAAAGCACTCAAGTGATGTTGCCCCTTTCAATGTGATTAAGGTGGCAAGATATACATAAAGAGAGTTTTGTCATGGGTTTGAGAGTTACATCTTCCTATTATCCTTTTACAGCAGAATCCTTTCTATAAAACTGTTTGTAAAATATATAATACAGATAGTCCTCAACTTATGTCCACATTGGAGCCCAAAATTTAGGTTGCTAAGTGAAAAATTAGTTAAGTGAGTTTTGTCCCATTTTATGACTTTTCTTGCCACGTTTGTTAAATGAATCACTGCAGTTCTTAAATTAGTAACATCATTGTTAAGTGATTCTGGCTTCCCCCATTGACTGTGCTTGTCAGAAGGTTGTCAAGGGGGATCACATGAATTTGGGACACAACAGTGATCTTAATTATGAATCAGTTGCCAAACATCTGGATTTTGATCATATCATGGAGATGCTGCAATGGTCATAAGTGAAAAACTTTTCAGCTCTGTTGTAACTTCACATGGTCACTAAAGGAACTGTTGTAAGTCGAGGACTACCTCGTATAGGTTCATTATGATGTACCTCGTATAGGTATATACCTCGTATTGATTCATTCTGTATTCACAATAAGTACTTTATTTACACCAGGTAATTTACTTTATTTAAAAAACAGGTAGGCCTTGTAGGCCTTGTTTAGTAGTGGTAATTGACACCAGCAACTCTGTTGCTAAGCGATGCAGTTATAAAGTGCAGTGTCATGTGACTTATGTGCTGACTTATGAGGGCAATTACCCCATAGTCCCTGGGCCCTATTAGTCTTGCGATCGCCATTTGCTACTTCCAGCCAGCTTTCCCATTGACTTTGCTTGTCAGAAAGCAGCAATGAAGGTTGCAAATAAATGGTGATCTCATGACAATGATTCTGTGACTGTTGCAATTGTGAGCCAGTTGATGAGTGGCCAGATGGCAATTATGTGACCACCATGGGGATGCTGGGACTGTCACAACTATGAAGAAAGGTGACCGGTCACGTTCTTGAGTACCATCATAACTTCAAACTGTTGCTTAATGAGGACTGCATGTACAGTGCTAAACAAATTTCGTATTATATATCATCTTGTAAGTGTTGGAATAATTGCGTGCAAATAAATTTAACAAACAAAACAAATAAATAAATACACCTGGCTTGACTGTACCACAAGCCAGTATGAATATTTCCATAATATAAATGGGAGAGTGAAACTGGGAATTTGCAGCCGTAACACATTCTAATTCTTGCAATACTCTAGTTGTATTCTAAGCGAAATGTTTCAGCTAATGTATTGAAACTTGTTTCCCTCTCCCCCCCACCAACTCTTTTATTTCTTTTACTTTGGTAAGTTTCAGAACTCCAGCTATCAAAAGATCAATATTAGAGAGTTCTCCTAGAACACCAACTCCATTTAAAAATGCAATTGCAGCTCAAGAATTAAAATACGGACCCCTAAAAATGCTGGTAAGAAAAAAAGGGCACTAATTTAATGATTAATCAAACCTTTGTTACAGCCATATGGATAGAAGTCAGAAAAAATAAATAAAACAAGCAAAAGTGAAAATATATAAAGATGAAAAGAAATGACATTAATATAAATATCAGACCTAGGGAAAGGCAGATAGGGTGAACTCAGAAAGATATATGCAGCCAATGGCCTGCAGAAGAACAGATAAATAGAAGTCGTGCTGTCTTACTCAGAAATTTCTTCAGGATATGATTTATTTATTTAAGTCATTGGGGATTCTTTGTAGAAAGAGCAATGAAAAGCTACGAACTATGAAAGGAAATGTTTTTGTAGTACCACAACAGACAGGAGAAGGCATGTCTGCATCCAGTCTGGCCAAAGTGAAGGCCTGTTAGAATTTCAGAACTGATTAAAAAAAAAAAGAAATAAGAAGCTAGCAAGTGATTTAATGAGGTTTCTTTGGAAGCTCCGGTAGGACATAATCTTTGGGAATGGAGGAACATGACTACTCTTGGCTATAACAAGCCAAGAACTGCATGCAGAAAGTTAGTAGGATCAAATTGGATTTAATTTAATTTGCGCCTATAGTGATTTAAATATAGATAATACCATTTCTTTTCCTGAGGTCACATTAAGCTTTTGTGGCAATTTGGGGAAGCAATTTAGGAGCCCAACAGCAAATGACATAAAGCTCTGGGTTTTAGCTCTATTATAAGGCATTTTCTGCTGTTCAGATGTGTTTCCTTCTCTTCCTTTTAGCCTCAAACACCAACTCACCTGGTAGATGACTTGCAAGATGTCATCAAACAGGAGTCTGATGAAACTTGTATTGTATCCAGCCTATGTGAAAATGGTTCCCCTTTGCTGAAGAAAATCAAACAAGAGGCAAGTTAAACCATATTTACTTAAGGTTACATTAAGTTCCATTCAGTTTGTCAACAAATGCTTCTTAATCACTTTAGGCACTGCCTCAGGAAATCAACTTTGGCAGGTTACTTTCAGAAAAGAACTTGCTATTCCAATTTACATTTTTGAGAAACTTTGGTTAATTGAAATTAACACATGAAATTGCCAATAGATTTAATTGTCCTATAAAGATAGTACAGTACTGCTATTTCTGACTTCCAAATAAGCCCTAGTGAAGCCCTGCTTCACTAGGGCTTATTTTACTTTATCTATTAAGATTAGATTATTTTGGATATCAGTGGCAGAGTGATAATTTGCATTTAACAAAACATGTCCAGGCTTATAATCCCGTCAGTAAAAAGACATATTTCAACATAGTATGCAATCTTTAGTAGAAAACAAATGCCTTTGGAATCTGGCTAAATTCATCTTATATCAATCAAATAAGAGCAAGTTTAAATCTGTTTAAAGTGAACAGATCCTGAGTGCTGGAGTTCATTGTTAGAAGTGTGCATGACACAGGAAATCCATTTATTTCAAGCTTGGAACAGATCTACCCCATTCAAAATGCTCTCTCAGAAGGATTTGAATTGGCTTGTTGAGTTGGCTTGTTCCTTTGGAGTAATTGAGCACTTGAATGTTCTGTGTTCCTTCAGAACAAAACTCAAAAATACTTTAATTATTCCGGTTCTAGTAACTTCTTATCAGCTGTTAGTTCCTTACTTTTCACTTTAGGGCAAGAAGAGTAAGCAGATTGGTAGTCATGCTGACTAAGGTTTATATCCTAACTGCTAAAAAATTTTAATTGAATATTAACTTAAAATGCTTTAGAGACAATAGGTATGCAGTTCATCAACTGAGAAATCTATTTTGATTAGCATCTGTTATTATCCACCCATTTTTTACCCATTCAGCAAAAAAAAAAATATTTTCAGTTTCTTAAAACAAACCTCATGGATCACTCAGCCAATAGGTTGCGAGACAAAAAAGAGCAGCTAGATTATTTAATATTATTTTTAATTAGTACATTTCTGTGAGAGACTATCCTAAAGTTTTGACTGTTTTATTCTTTTGATTTTTTTTGTGTAAATCTTCTTTCTTTCTTTCTTTTGCAATTAGCTTGACAGCCAAGAACAAACTCAGTAAAAACAATTATGTCCTTGTGTCTTTTCCTGATGTTTTTGCTTTCATAGAGGGGTGTCTAGTGAAGTGCCAGGGGGAAAGAAAGTCTGCTAGTGCTTTTGAATTGCATGAATAATACCACAGTAACATTAAAACAAGTTCTAAAAGCATGCATATGCATGGGAAATTTGAGCAAGCCAGTATTGCACCAGTAGTATTTACATTTAAATAGCTTCTGTAGCATTAATAATACATCTGTGTGAAGCAAAGCAATGCACACAAATATACACTTTTGCATTATCTACATCAATGGGACCCACCAGTGCATTCAGATGAATTCTTAAGTCACCTTTTTGAAAAGCAATAATTTACCAGGCAGCTCCAGTGATCTTCTACCTGTGTTCCATTGTTTCTTTTCAACACTTCATTCCTGTATTACCGCACAAAGGCTAAAGCAATAGCAGCAAGGACATAATGGGCTCCTGCTGCTCTGGTGGTTAAGGTGGAAAAGATTTGAAGAAAGCAACCTAATCATAATTCATCAAACAGCCCAGTCCAAACACTCTAAATGCTTTCATGTTGAGACAAAATGGTGTGTTTTCTTTCACACTCAGAACAACACCCAAAACAGCTGTTTCAAACGCGAAACACTTCGCTTATCTCTGTTGTGTGGATCAGGACAATTCAGGACATTGTATGCTGACTGGATTAAGTTTTGTGCCAAAGCTTATGTCAAAATGCACTTGCTGTTAGGCAAGACAGAATGTGTCAATCAACTCTATCTTAATATGCTTTTGTTCCTGCCTACAGGTGGATTCTCCAGTAGGGAAAGCAGAAAACTTCCTTTGCTCAAATAGTTGGGAAGGGGAAGGGCTAAATGCACAGCTCTTTCCATATGCATCGTCAGCAGAAGACGTGCCTGTATGTATTAATGCCCTACATCTCAACATCTTGGGCTAGGGTGTTTTTGTTGTGGTTTTTCTTTGTGCAACCTTGATTGGTTCGAGGCTAAAAGAAGAATTTTCCCCTTTTCCCTACTAGTTTACTTCTAGTTGTTTCTTCGTAGTTGTTAACTCTTCTCAGTAGCTACTTCAAGATAATTTTTTCCTCTTCTTAACTGCCAGATTTTGGTCCTGCATTATTTAGTAGCCACATTGTTAATATGACTTGGTTTGAGTGTATAACATCAGCGTAATGTCAGTTCAGACATTCATTTGAAGTTCTTTAAAAAGCTCTTTCAGATAAATACTGTGACAATTTAGAGGACTGTGCAGATAGTCCTTGAATTATGACCACTTGTTCAGTGACAGTTCAGAGTTACAACAGCACTGAACAAGGGGGACTTATGAACCGAGTCTGCAAAGTTGCAGCCATCACAGTATTCCCATAGTCATAGTGACCACACTTTGAGCACTTGGCATCCAGTTCACATGGATCACCATTTGCGACCTTCCCTGCTAGTTTCCCACAAGCTGTCAGTGGCGAAGCCAGCGGGAGTGCAAGTTGTCACTTTATCAACCATCTCTTCATAATCCACCGATGCTTTATAGTACTAGGTAAGCTTTTGCCAGCCAGCTGACTTTACTGGAACTCACATCTCTTCTCTTTATGGTCATCTGAGTTCGTTCTTTGACGACCTGTGCAGTTGTGCGGTTACAACTACCAGAATTCCCATCACTAAGCAATACAATCATTTGACATCATGTTTTATGCTTAATGCTGTGAATTCTTGTCCCATAACTCAAGAACTATTTGTATGTAGTGCTGTCTTTTAAAGTTCTTCTAATTTTATCTGCTGTCTGCTTTATTTTTTCAAAGGATTCCAATATTTGAATCCTCCAGATTTCCAAATATTCTTTAAATACAATGTAATAAGGTGGAAAGGAGGGTGGAGAGAAATAAGCAAACAGTCCTATTACATTATATCGTAAATAATCCATTCAATATTATACATCATTCTTACACTGTTAAGATTTTATTGTGTGTGTGTTTTTCCAGAATCTGCTGACCAGTTCACATTTAAAGATGCCTACATCAGAAGAAGAAGATAACAATCATAAATTATTCACATTTCATAGAACTAGATCATCAAGTAGTCCGCTTCAGGTAAAAATTTTCATTAATTTTTAATGAAAATTTAAAATTCCATAGATACTCCTTGAACTTACTTCCAAATAGAGAAATAATTCTTTCAATCAGAGAATACTTTGTAAAACTTGAAGATCTCACTTTATTGTATAAGGGGAAAATGTTGTAGATGTGTTTGCATAAAAATTTAACACAAACCTAATTAGCTATTGAATCCAGTATTATTGACCAAGTAGATGATTTCTACAGGAAAAAGAAGCTTTTGGGAAAACATTATAAATGAACCTGTTGCCTTTTGTTGACAGTAGTGGAAAAGTGGCATTCTTTTCTTCTGTAGTCTGTGTGTGTGTGTGGGAGGGAGTGATTTGGGGTGCCCTGTTGAAGTGTAAAGGAAAAGGAAGCCAAGAAACATCGATATCTTTTGACTCCCCGTTTCTGGTGTCCTTGTTTTTGTAACAGTGAAATATGAACTTCTTCAGATCAGGTTATTTTCAACCAGATAACCACATGAAACTCAGTTTGAAGTCTGAGGTTTGAGTTGAATGGAATAGTAGCAAACCTTGTAGGATTGCCTTTTTGAGTGATAGAACTCAGAGTTGTTATGAATGGGAATGCGTATCTCTAATAGAGTACCAGACATCTTCAGATAGACTTGAAAAGAACTTCTGTCTACAGAACCACTTTGGTAGTCTGCATGGAAAATACTGAGCCAACCGGATCAGTGCTCTGACTCTTTTAATTAGCTTCCAATAGAAAACTGATGTGAAAACCTTTGCAGTACAATCTTGTGGATGTCCACTCATAAGTCATTTTGAAATAAGCAACGTTATTCCTGAATAGTTGGATATACATTGCATTTTTATAATCATAAAGATGAAGATGAAACCAAAGATCTGTGTCTAGTTTACTATCTGGTTTCTCACTGCAGTCTGCTAAATACCTACAGGAAGCCTGGAAGCAGAACGTAATGATAAGAAACAACTCTCACAGTTCAGTAGAATCTAGGATAACTACTGTAGACAAGATTAGATTCACATGCTTCTTGTTCTGACACAAAATGACCTAATGATGAAAATCTACTGTATTTCATCTATTAAGGGAGTGATAATGCTTGAAAGTGTCTCATAGGCATTAAACACATAGAAATTTGCCTCCGGCTTTGCTATTTGCAAATATAAATTAGACAACAATTACTGCTATGTTGGCTAAGTTCATGCGAATTTATTCTTAATCACTTCTACAGAGCTGAGCCAACAGTATATGTAGACTATTTTATTACTGCTATTTATGTAAATAAATACAGTAGAAACAATTATTCCCTAAGTACATGAAACAGAAATGGCTTGTTACCTTAACTTAAAATTGGCATTAGATTGTTATTTCTTTAGTGTGAACTCACAAATGGGAAATAAATGGGCTTTTTCCCATTCCAGTTCTTGGATAGCCAGAGACTTTTAGACTGTAAATCTGTGTTTGTGTGCAGTTGTTTAAATCTTTGAATGTGGGAACTCAGATGGTGTACTTCCTGATCCATTTCCCCTTTCTAATCAGGATCTAGAAGCTATTAAGTAGTCCATTCAATGGCTTGGTGGGCTGGATCAAAAAAAGGGAAAATATGTTTGTAAATGATGTTTCCTCCCTTTGTTAACCTAAAAAGATGGTGATGCCTTTTGAGAGCCATATGGAAATGTACAGAGAAGCTAAATTTCCTGCCCTCCGCACTGTTCCAGGCATTTGGGCATAATTCATTTCTGGATTGGGTTGCCAGCTTTTATTATGTTTATTCCTCCTTTGGTCATTTTTCCTAAGATGGATCTCTGATGTCAATACACAACAATTTTGGTGTGGTATTTCTTGCAGGAAGTGAACTAGCAAAAAAAAAAAAGTTATGAGGCTCCTCAATATGTTCTGATCTCATGCAGTGAAAGTGCTTTAGCGGTTGTCTCCTTTGCTTATGGACACTTAACAATTCAGATGTAGAAGTAAGATAGATGGGTGGGATTCTGTTTGAAATAAACTTTTCATATAAGTGTTGCTCGAAGATAATATTTTTTTTGCAGAAGCACCATAATTCAGCAAAACCCACCTTAGGGGCTCTGGAGGTCATAATAATTTTTATATGACTGCAGAGAGAGATAAGGAAGAGCTGCCACTATCAGAGGAGAAAATATTTTAAACTTAGACTAATTGATTGAGTAGTGTTGACTTCACTAGGTTTGGGCAGCTCATTCGTTCATTTTATTACTCTTGAAGATTAAGAAAGCTATGCTACATTCTATATGTAAAATCATTTCTATATATCAGGATATATTTTCAATATACATGAATGAATTCTAATATTTTCTTCCTATATATCAATGTATAATAATTTTCAGGCATATTTTTAGAAAAAACATTTTACTGAAAATATTTGGAGTTCTCTAGCATAGACAATGGCAGAAGGGAGAAGACTAGTTTGACCTGGCCTTGTTTCATGGGTACTTATTTGCAGGAAAATGTAATATGTGAATCTGCCATTACATTGAGTAGGTTTAAGAAAGCACCTTTGCACAGTCTTGCCTTTCCTGCTGTGTTTTCCCTGGAGGTTCACTTTTACTTAACTGGATATCCCAGTTAAACTCTGGAGAGCTTGTTTACTGTTCACTCTCCCCTGAGGCAAAAGAAGACATGTTACAGGATAAGTGAGATAATTTTGTTGCCAGAGGAAGGCTATGCAGGCAGGATTAATGATGTAACAAAATGAACTAAGAGTGACACAGCTGAAAATCTTCCATGGTTTGATGGTAATATGTGAACATAATGTAAACATACAAAAGTTATCTTTGTTATCCATATTTTAACTTTTAAAAAGTGCTAACAGGAAATCTGCTTTGAAAAAGAAATGCCTTTTGCAAGAGAGGGTGAGAGGATGACAAGGATTGCCCACAATTTCATAGGATCCGTGGTCTAATGCAAAATATGCAGGCTGCCATTGATGGGGCACGACCAAGTTAAAAGTAGTCCTAACTAGACTGTATTGAAAAGAAGGAAATACAAACATGAGAACCACTGTTGCCTTGATCTGTGTATGGCATTGTCACATGGCAGTTAGTGAAAAATTAGTGGTTTATGGTAAAGGCCATTTTTAATGAGGGGCAACTTTAAGTGGGTAGAATCCTAAACATCTATTAGTGAGCATCATTTAAGAAGGACGCTGTGTGGGTATCTGGATGCTAATGTTGATTAATAAAGCATTCCTGCAGGAAAACCTTCCCCGCTGTAAGAATGCTTCAAGATGGATAGATTACAACTCCTAGAGTTCTATAGTTCGTATGGCCGTTATCATTTATTCTGGGACTTCAAATGTGTAGTACAGGAGGGCATCCAGACCAAGGATGGCTGCTATAGGACTAGATCACAAAAGTTTGTCTTCAAACCTGCCTAGAAAATGGGTCACTGTTTAGGCAGCATGTTTTGCTTTTGAGCAGTCATCTCAAGAAGACAACGAGAAGAAACAAAAGCAGCAGCATTCTGTTCACTATAGGCAGCAAAAACTCATTGGTTTCAATATGTCTCCTTGGCTGTGGAGGTCTTTTTCTATTCCCCTGGAAGCAAGTAGGCTCCAAGACTAGTCATAATTTCAGAGGGTTTGGAAGTTTTCATTGGTGTCTAGCAAACCCTGATTGTGATTTTTCCTTCCCTTCTTCCTATAGGATCCAAAGCTTTTGTTTTACCCTAATAAGCATCCATGCAATTACAGTACTTGTACCTTAGAAAGAAACAGCTTTCTTTCTTCCGGATTACTTTTATTCTGTTTCTCTTTAATATCGTTTAATATTATAACTTTATATTATAAAACAAACAGTTAGCCATCATAACCCATTTAATTAAAAAATAAATAGATTAGTGAAATATTACCAGAAGTCAGGAAGGGCTATTTAACATTCATCCTGTTTTGGAAATGAATGTATATGTGAATAAATAAGTATGAAATTAATAGCTGAGAATTCCAAGGGCTCATGTATGCAAAACCAACTTCTAAACCTGGCATGTCATAACAATTGAACATATTCCCAGCTCCTATGAGAGCGACGTGAATATTTTTATATAGAGCTGCATGTGGTAACTAATACAATGCATCTGCTTCAGTATTAGTTCACACAAAAACATTGCTAATATTACAAGTGGGATAGCACTCTCAGCCTAGATAATGAAGAGCAAGAAAGTAAAACCATCATTACTTTGAACCTTGACAAACACTTTGAACTATACAGACTTGTTCTCATAAATCAGCCATCTCTGTTTGCTTACAAACAGAATCCCAAAGTTGTTATGAGCCTTAGGGTGTGACTATGCCTGGTAATTATCAGGTCACAGAGTGCTTGTAATGAATATCAATCCTTACTCATTTCTGTAGGTTTTAGATAAAAAAGGTCAGGCCACTGTTTACATTATATATCATGTGAAACAAGGGCAGCAGTCATATAGGGACATTTGTCATTTTGGAATAACATATGCCTTCTGTCTACCAAATAATGAACCATATGAAAAACGTGGACCTGGTACAGTACAGTATATAAAGTTTCCGTAAATCATTTTATAAAATGTTCAAAGCTGAAACACGTTCCTGTACCATTTGATCTATTCTCATTCAATTTTTGGATACTAAAGATTGTTCAGAAGATGAGTTATCATCAATCCACAGAATCTTGAAGCTTGAACATATAATTGGTTGCATTACAGCATAGCTTTTACAGACTATAGAGCAGGCCGTGCCCATCCCGGCTCTGCAGAGGCAAAAAAGTCATGTTACAATATGTCATGTGATGCAATCAAATTTGACACCCCTGCTATAGAGCATAAAAGAGGGAACAATTACTGTAGTCTTCCAGTCATCAGCCATAAATGCAGTCCTCAAAGCCACATTTAGCAAGTTGCACAGCCACTCCATAAGTAAATCACAACTGTATTTTAAGATTTCTCCATTATATAATCTACATTAGCATTCTTACTATTTTTTCAGTATTCTCAAAGCGTTTATTAGTTTCTTTGGATCAGTTTTTTTCTTGGACATCAACATATTCCTATATAAATCTGAAACACACCTTCCAGCCTTTCCTCATGACTGTTTCATCAGAATTCAATTTTATCACCTTTTGCTTTTAATTCGATTCATTCCTGCTGGTGATTTTTATGTAACTGTCTTCTCTCGATTTTTTATTTTCATCAAAATCTCTTAGTTTTTTCTCTGTCTCTTTCAACCGTAATCCTCCAAGGAAGAAGCTTTTCTTGTTCTCTTTGAAAGTTTATTTTCAATGTTCTTCCTCTACATGCATACCATACAATACATTTTCTTTTTTCATCGCTCATACTCTGATATCCATTTTTTATATTTCTCATATTTTCTGCTGGAAGACTAATATGTCTTTAATATTTTTTCATACAAGACTCGTACTTTTTTCTTTCATACAAGACTCATACTTTTTTCTTCATTTTCCTTACTTTTTTGCATTTCCATCTCTCCCCCCCCTCAAGTTTCACTCTTCACGCTACCAAAAATTAAAAATGATCCAGAAATGTTTACCTCTCTTGAATTCTTTATTGATTCAATCTTTCATCATAAATAATCATTTCAACGATCACATTTTTAGATTTATATTCATTCTTTTTTCATACAGAGTTAAGCTAAAACCAAATCTTCAAAACAAAACAAAAAAATACAGTGCTCATAATCATCAAATAATTATCATTGATTCATAGTGTTTCACAGTTTTGCCAAAAACTCATCTCTTGTTCTCGTGTATCACTGTTCTTTAGAAGGTCATACGCAGCAATCCCTAACCTAAGAATTTCTGTTTCCATATACAAAATGTGTATGCGTGTGTTTCTGTTAACCCAATTTTCTACAGCAGACTAGACAAAATCAGATAATAGTTTCTGGCATAGGTTTTATCACTTCTGCTCAAAATTAAACTCACCCAGTCACTTTTTGATCATATTTATCAACTTCTCAGTTAAATCAGATCTGTTAAATCTTTTCCCTTAGTTTGACAGATGGGCAGTTTTGGCCAGTAGTTCTGGATATGTATTTTAGTCAATATACCTGAGTGCTATTCTTTATTAAAAGAAGGAAACTTGTTCGCCAATCATTAGAAGGGACACAGAATACTTTCTTTCATGCCTTATCCCATATCATGTGAAATAACATTCACTGCTGCCACTACTCCCTGCAGATCTTATCAGATGATCATCATTTTCCATGATCAAAACCACTTTTGGGTTTCCAGTATCTTTTACAAAAAAAGATCAGTCATTTGGGCAGCAGTTGCTATTTCCACTGAGCAGCTCTGACTCAGTGGAGTTACACAGTGTTGAAAATTACTGGAAGTTTAACCAGCTTCTCAAGAGAGTGGAGGCTATCTAGTGAAATCATGAAGAGGGACAGAATTGTGGTATATCTGTGAGGTAAAATGTATGTCACACCTGCCCTTGACTGGTTTGCAGAGGATTATGCTGTGTAAAAAAAAAACTATTAGTGGGAGGGCTCTGTTTTACAAATCCATAACTACATATTTGGACTGTTTTTGACATGAAGGTTGATTGCTTAATGACAGGCCTACTGAAGACCAAAGAAGAACTAAGGGACAGATATAGATCAAGGAAAAAATGCATAGTTAACTCAGGTTCACACTAGAGGGTTAAACTGTTTATCATATCACTTGTTTTCTTCTGTGGGGATTTAGTTGATTTTGGTTTATTTTAATTTTATGGAGTTTTATATCTCTGGTATGGAGTTTTATGGAATTATATCTAAAAATCGATTCTTGGTTAAATTATATTTTAGTTCTGCTGCAGCATACTCAAGATAGTAATGCCATTTTTTAAAAAAATGGATAAATTTTATCTTTGTCTAGTGCTTGTATCACACCGTATCATTTTGATACAGGAATGTCCTGATTAAGGACCCATTACCAAGCTCTGAAATAAGTAAGTGTTGCTTCATCAAAAAACTTATTTTGATGTACAGCTTAAATGACATTGGAGATCCCAGTCACAAAAATCTCTGTATAAGTTTGGATGGTCAATGACCATACATAGTATTCCATGCCATAGTGATCTTTTCTGTCAGAGAGATAGGCAGTTGTGTGTCTTTGCAGGTTTTACAGTTAGGGTTGCTGGAATTGCTGCTGTGAAAGTATCATTCTGATTACCTAGCAGTAAATTTTAACAAATGGGTTAGAAGAAAGCAATACTTATCTCTATCCGCAAATTCCATAGTATGTTGACATTTTTGTCCTTCCTGATGACTGGAGGCAGCAAGAGATAGTTTGCAAGATTACAGAACAAGTTCATCATTTTCCAACACCAGTGCTGTGTTGAGTTTTCAACTTTTGTAAACATTGCAAGCACAGTTAAGAAATGTGTTTCTATTGGCAGGCCTTTCACCTTTCCCCCTACATTTCTCTAGGGAAGACTGGCCCTCCTTTGGTGCATTAATGTAAAGATTTTGTTGTTTCTTTCTTGTTTTGGAATATTCTTAAGTGTTAGCTTGGTTTTAATACACTGTTTTTCAGGTCAAGACACGCAGTATAGATAGAAGTTCTAAAAGTAGCAGCAGTCTGCTAAAGCACACAATGCCCGATGTCTTAGAGGCCAAAGCCGAAAAACTTGAAAGGGCCCAGACAAATATAAATATAATAATGTCAGAGGAGGAGGAGAAGTAGAAGAAAGACTTCAGGCACATATTATCCTACAGCATACCTAAAAGAGCACATGGGAAGTTTTGCAGTTATTTATTCTCCTATGCATCAAAAGAGCCTTAAAGGATCTTAACACCCAAGCAAGGTGATATAGAAGAAGGCAGTCTTAAGATTTACTGGTTCCCTTAGCCCAGGACAATGGAGACTGATTCCATGCATTTTATCATAACCCTGAATTTCATGTTACCTGCTGCACCCTATGATTCATATACTGAATAAATAACCACATTGCAACATCAGAATTACTCTCATAGAAATGTCCTGAAAGTAACATGACAACCAGATCAAAAGTAACCAACAATACTCATCTTGCAGAGGCTTTGTTCCTGCTCACATTTGCAAAGTTTAATAAAAGGTTGAGAAGACATTATAAACTTGTCACCTTCTGGCATGACTCCTATTATTTTAGCAATTGTAATGGAAGCCTTTGGGGAGAATAACGGATTCCTAATCAAAATGTAATGATGTGTTCTTGTCCAGGCAATCAGAAGTTTAATCTTATGAACAAAGTGGATTGGAGAGAGTGTGCCAACTTACTAAGAAAGCTGGTAACGAATTAGAGTCAACAGGTTTTGGAGGTCAGGGTTGAGCTCTTCTTGACTGGTCTTTACATGAGACTAAGTCCCTTCCTTAGTACTGTATTGCTACCCAAAGGGACCCTGCTTATGTGTTCTAGATTGAAATCCATTGACTTCCCTTGGGACATCTAAGACAGGGACAAGTGCTGAAACATGTATTACAATTCCATACACTTGATTTAGGCATCTGAGGTCAAGATGCATGTACAAAAGGCCAAGGCTTGTGTCGTGACACATTCCATTGTCATTTTATCATTGTGGTTTTTATGGCAACCTTTGGACTTCCCCCTTCTCAATGTCACACTCCTAGGTGTTAAGTTCTTGGAGAAGAAAAACCCTGTTTCTCAATTCTCCTCTTTTCTTTTTGTCTTTAGCATTTTAGCAACACATGGGATTCGGCTTTCTGCGGGAAGACGGAAGATCAGCTGACTTTTTCCGACCCAGCACGCAAATACATGGGTGCATTCTCAGCTCGAACTCTGGTCATGTAAAAGTCCACCCACAAGCATTACATTCTCTTTTCAAAACACTTAACAGTTGATTTAGATTTACCATTCTTCTGCATGGGAGAAAAACATTTTTGTATATTTGTTTGTTTGTTGTTATGGTACAACATTTGGGAGCAGCACAAAGTGCATTCACAAAAGCATATATTAATCAGGTTGGATTCACCCAACTTTAAAAAGGAAAATGGACGCATCAAAGTTCTCTTACATTGAGGATGCTTTACTGTACTGAGTTATCAGGTATTGAATTTTACGCAGTTATTAATAATGCAGGTTTTAACAACACGGTGATTTTAAATGATTAAAAATGTTTGGGGAGATCAAGTGCACAGTATTAATTCAGTGAAGAGTTGCTACCTGAGTTCCAGTGCCAGTGAAAATGTTGTTTAGGTTTTTGTTGAGTTTTCTTTTCTTTTCAAGAGCTGGCACTCAAATCAGTAGCTTATGCTAAAATCATTGAACAAATGTCTTGGTCTGAAATACTGCAAGAAAAGCATTACTGCAAATGCTACTATAAAAGTTAAGGCAGGGCATACCTTGTCTGTAAGTGCTCACTTACCTTTAATTATTTGAAGTACTGTTCTTAATGGAGATCCAGATAGCTTCTCCTTTTTTATTAAGAAAAGCTTGCTTTTATTTTTTATTTTTTACTGTATGAAGCATAGTTTTATGAAAACAAATTATATTTTTATTCAGTAATTTAATTTTGTAAATGCCAAATGGACTTTGGGTTGGGTTTTTCTTTTTAATTTGTAATGTTCTTTGCTGCTGAAGATTTGCAGCATGTAGATGGACTACTAAAGGACCATAAAGTTTATATAAAAAATAAAACCCTAGTCGGGGAGCAGGTAGCTATTTGACTATGCACTAGCATTTCTGATTTTTGCAATATTGTTTTGATGCTCCCTCTTTTCCTGGACAAGCAATATTTTGAAACACTTCTTGAGAGTTTTTATGCACCTATGTATGTATTTTCAAAAGGTTTTGAAAACATAGAATTGCAGATATTTAGTATTTTGGGAGAACACAATCTTGCTTACGTCTTCAATTATTGTCTCATGTTAAAGATTCCATACTTGGACCCTGCACAATTCAAAAAGAAAAATATGGCCCTGGGACTGCCATATCTGAATTTTTCTCAGTGGGAAGAGAAAGTGGCTTCTTCTTTTTTTATGTCAGACATTGCTGCCTTAATAGAATTAGGTGCAGCTTTGTCTGCACTTTTTATAATACACTGTACTGCCTTGTAGATAAATAAAGTGTGGCATTTTGTAAAAATTAACTGCTCGTTTATTACCTTAGATAAGCTGGCATTTTAGCAAGCTTGTCAAGAATGTCATTCAACTATATCCTTTTGTTCTGTTAGTTTTGCAAAATACTAGAATCTGTAAGCTTCACCTATTTTAAGTCAGAGCTGTTTCTGCCATTTCAAAACTAAGATAACCAAATTCTTGTTTCAATACAATACGGGTCTATGTGGAGAACCATCTATATTCTCATGGGACAGTATGGCAAGGTTTTAATCATTCTGTCTGCAGTCAGTTGGGGTGGTGAAACTGCAACTCAGATGTATATTTTTCTGAACCTGCATGACTCTGTCTGCCTAGGGAAAGGTGATACCTTTAAAGAGCAGCCAGAGATACAGAAAAAGTACTTGTGGATCCAGAGTACCTTCACCTGCTTTAACTACAGCACACCTCTAATGTATTTTTACAAACCATGGTTTGCTTAGCCTTGGTTAAGTCACAATTAGAGGGTTCATACAATAAACAGACATAAGCTGTGGCATTGGGACCACACCAAACAAATGCTTCCTGATTAGGGCAGTGAAGGATCCCAACCATCTCAAACAAACCACAGTGTTTTCATGTAATATATCCAAAAAGCTTAGTGGTGGGGCAACAGGTTGGAAAGATCTATTACTACATGACAAACACATTTAAATGGTTTTGCCCTATTTTTTTTCATAAAATGTAAAAAAGAACTATCAAGATTTTGTCTGTAATTTAAAAAGCAATTCAAAGGCCCTTGAAATTTCTGATAGCTGTGTACAAAAAAGTGTCTTATTTCAAAATTTCTAGTTAACTAGTGGCTTGTACCATGGAACCAGATCATGAAGATACAGGGTTGGAGTTTTGATATATAACATCCCTACATTTGTAAAGACACAGATAGCAGATAGATAACAGATAATCAAAGTTGGAAGGGACCTTGTAGGTCATCTAGTCCAACCCCCCACCCAAGCAGGAGACCCTAAACCATTTCTGACAAATGGCAGTCCAATCTCTTCTTGAAAGTCTCAAGTGATGGCGCTCCCACAACTTCCCAGGGCAAGCTGTTCCATTGGTTGATTGTTCTCACTGTCAGAAAGTTTCTCCTTATTTCCAGGTTAAATCTCGTCTTGTTCAGTTTCTATCCATTATTCCTTGTCTGGCCTACAGGCACTTTAGAAAATAGCTTGACCCCTTCCTCCCCATGGCAGCCCCTCAAATATTGGAAGACTGTTACCATGTCTCCCCTGGTCCTTCTCTTCACCAGACCAGCCAAGCCCAGTTCCTGCAACCGTTCTTCATATGCCTTAGTCTCCAGTCCCCTAATCATCCTGGTTGCTCTTTGCACTTTTTCTAGAGTCTCAACATCTTTTTATAATGTGGTGACCAAAACTGGATGCAGTACTCTAGGTGTGGTCTTACTAAGGCTTTATAGAGTGTTATTAGTACCTCACTTGATCTTGATTGTATCCCTCTGTTAATGCAACTTAAGATTGCATTAGCTTTTTTGGCCACTGCTGCACACTGCTGGATCATATTTAGCTGGTTGTCCACTAAGACTCCAAGATCCCTCTCACAGTTACTGCTATTGAGCCTGGTTTCACCCAGTCTATATATGTACTTTTGGTTTTTCTTGCCTAAGTGTAGGACTTTACTTTTCTCTATATTGAATTTCATGTTACATACAACCCAGTGTTCTAGTCTGTCAAGATCCATCTGGATCTGGAGCCCATCTTGGGTGTTAACTATTTCTGCCAGCTTAGTTTGTCCACATGTTTTGTCCAAAGTATTCAATACAATAAAAGCCAAATAAGACTGGATTGCCATTTTTAACCACAAAATGGTTTCTAAAAGATATTTTGATACCACTTTGGTCTTAATTACAAGTGACGTGTTGCAGCTTCAGGAGAATTTGCCATAATTTCTGAAAAAGCAATGATAATCCAGCCTTTGCAGAAAATATTACAAATTACATCGCATAAACCAATTCCCAATCTATCCAGGAGAATATTGCAAGATTATTTTGGGGAAAAACCCATTTTACCATATAGTAACATCAGATAGGCATTACACCAAGTTTTCAATGAATTTCAAGAATTATATTAAGCAGATGAAATATACAAAAATCTAACACAAAAATATATTTTTTAAAAAATATTAAAAATTAATTCCACAAAAAAGAAATAGTAAGAAAAATGAACCTGCATTCCCAGCAAGTAAAATTCAACATTACCTTATTACTATATCTTAAAATAAAATTAAACACAACTTCATTCCATATCTTGCCCCATTTTCTATAAACCCATCTCTAAATTCAACTCTCCAAATTAATCAACAAAGATGCAGTAAAAATGAACAAAATGCAAACTACATAAGTATATAATACCATTCCAATTAATCTACCACGACAATACCAAATAGAAATAATTGTTATATTACAAGGCATGGCATGCTTCTTAATATATCATAATATCTCATGTAAGTGCCTAAGAGGTCGAATTGGTGTTACGATATTTCTTCATTGTCCTCTGTGGTCACCTCTGTGTATACTGATGTTCTTTACCCATTCAGTTATTGAAATCCAATAGTTGAAACCTTGAAATGACAGATTCAAAAGAGTTATGTTCAGGAAATCTTACTCGTGCTGATGCACCCAAAAATTTCAATAGCATGTTGCAAAATATCCCTACTCTTTTCTGCCATTATTAACTTAACTGGCATTTACTTTTTCTATAACTATCCATAGAGATAAATTATATGATAACAAAAGACTGATTCATAAATTTAGATACCAATTTAACCAGGGATGGGATCCAACTGGTATAACTACCGGTTCTGTCGCTCTGCGTCGCATGCCCGTGCAAGAGAGAGTCATGCAAGTGCATATTTACGACCTGCTGAGCTGCCTGGACAGCTGAGCAGCGCTGCGTGCAAGTGTGCAGTGGTTGAAAAAGCCCTTTTTCCCTGCTTTTTCAACCGCAGCTATGTCGCGCAAAGCAGCTGTGGTTGAAAATGCAGGAAATAAAGGTCAAGTAAGAGCCCGGGTGGGCGGGTCGGCCAAAACAGCAGCAGACATAGAACCAGTTCTAGGTATGCTCTCTGTTTGCTGCTTTTCATAGCAACCGGTTCTACAGAAGTGGACAGAACCGGTAGAATCCCACCTCTGAATTTAACTACAAGCTGATTGTGGTGTTCTTATTATCTCATGAATCTTAGGTTTTGAAGCAAATTGAATGGATCCTATTGAATGAGTGATCCTCTAGTCCAAGGGTGTCAAACTTGCAGCATCACATCGTCACGTGACGTATCATGACTTCCGCCCCCTGCTAAAATGGGTGGGTGTGGCCAGCGAGTGACGCACCTGGCTCACGGTTCATGAGTTTCACACCTCTGTTCTAGTCATTCAAAGTTGGGCAGATCTGGAGAATGGAAAGTGAAGAGTTTTATTTCTCATCTATGCCATAAAGCTAGAGAAGTAGAAAAACAGAGGGTGAAGGAAGGGTAAAGCATTGCAGTAAATTATGCCTTTCCCCTGCTACCTGTTAAGAAGTTTGGCATGATTCAGGTTCTCAGACGAGAACTACTCAGATGAGTTGTGAGTATAATAAAATAGCCCAGCTGTACTGTAGTAAAATAGCCCAGCTGTGTCTCTTCTAAGTGTCCCTCCTTAAACCACAATTCTTTAACACGTTTTTAGCTGGGTTTGCTTTTCACTTCCTTTTTACTGGTAGATAGAAGAAGATGGTTCTAAGATAGCCACTTAGCTTGGCCATCAGAGTTAGACTTCCCCAATGACCACATTATATTATTTTAATTTGATAAATTTATATCCTCCTGTTCTCTGCCTGTCTCTTTTTCATATACCCACACCAAGAGAATTGCATAGCATCTTTCAAGAGCATAAAATGGAGACACTATTACAACTCTTAGAAGCAATAGAAGAAATCAGCAACAGAAAAGTAGTTGTAAGAAGAAATAGTCATTGCTGTTGGAAGGGAGAAAAAATACAAAAGCATGCTATGTATGCCAAATTGAGCTCTGGAAGGGAAGGTGGGATATAAATCTAAATAAGCACATTAAATAAAAGCAAAAGAGATTTTAGACCTGTCTATCAGCATTATCCAGACTTCATCCTTCACATGTGTTGTACCATAGTTTCATTATTCATAGCCATTATTATTTTTGTAGTCTTAATACAGCTGAAAGTCCACTATATACTGGGCAAAGATAGTACTGATTTAATTTACCTTTGCTTTTTAAATTTGTGTCAATACGCAGTATATCCTACTGGAAATATTAATAGATATTACTGTTGAGCTCTGAGCACCTATGGGAGCCCCCACAGCAAAGGAAGAACTGAGTATATTAATCACACTCCCGGAATGAAAAGCTAAACCATCCACAGAAGGGTTTTCCTTCATATTCATGTCTGTCATTTATCTCCTGCATGCTTCATCAAAAGGAATTCAATAATTCCGAGTAAAGATCTAATCTAGACTAGTTCAATATTTTAAAAGTTTAATTGGAACCCTACTTACTCAAAAACAGATTTACATTCCTGGAATATGTTTCTAAGAAAGTAATGCAGGTGTAACAAGCCAGTGGTTTCAGTAGCTGAAACCATTGTTTCAACACGCTGATTCTTAGAGCTGAATCTACGACTGAAGCAAATCAATGTGGTCATCTTTAAACAGAAGAGTTGCCATGCAAAGCCGTTTCAAGAATCACACAAACCTTTGCTGAAATCAAGCACACCTTTCAAAGTTCTGTAAAGCACTGCTCAACCTCTATAGACACGAGGACAGAAAAAGGAAGAAGTAGTACATAGGACATTTCAAATGTAAAATCTTGGGAGATGACCTTATGTCACCCATATTTCACAAGCTTTCAATTTCTTTGCATGAGGTATTATGAGAAATGTGAGAAGCGCAGAATATAAGGTAGCTAAATCTTAT